GAAGGCCATGAAGAGGAGCGAGAAGTTGTTGAGCCAGGTGTCGACGGCGTCGAGGAGGTAGAAACCGAAGCGAGTGCAGTAGAGGAGCGACAGGAGGAAGGAGATGGTGATGACGACGGTGCAGACGAGGGTACGCGAGATCTTTTTGCCCCAGTCGGTGTCGCAGATGAGCGTGACCACCGACTCGACAAGGGCGTAGGCCGAGCTGAGGCCGACCAGCATGATGGTGAAGAAGAACACGACGCCCCAGAAGGCGGACGCAGGCATCTCGGAGACGGCCAGCGGGTAGGTCAGGAAGCCGACGGTGAAGGTCCCGAGCTTGTCACCCGCTTCAGGCTTCAGGCCGAGGAAGCCGACAATGCCGAAGACGGCGAAGGCACCGATGATCTCGTAGGCCGAGTTGGAGCAGGCAATGATGATGGAGTCCTGGACGGCATTGGCGAAAGTGGGATTGTAGGAGGCGAAAGCAGTGAAGTAGCCGAAGCCCACGCCAGTGGAGAAGAAAATCTGACCGGCGGCGGCCTGCCAGATCTGCCCGGAGGACAGCTTCCAGCTGTCCCAGTGGGCCATGTACATCTTGATGCCCTCGACGGCATTGGGGAGCGAGACGCCGCGGCCGAGGAGGACGAAGATCATCACGATGGGCAGGCCCATGGTGAAGTAGACGACGCGGCCGGAGAGGCCGACGCCCTTGAACATGCAGAGGTAGACGACGAACCAGACGAAGGCGGCCCAGCCGACGGTCTCGCCGACGAGGCCGGTGCCCGGGTAGCTGGCGTACTTGAGGACGGACTTGCCGTCGTCAGAGTACTCGCCGGGAACGGGGGCGACGTTGGCGATGACGTCCTGCATGTAGAACTCCTGGCCCCTGTCGGCCCAGGCCTGCGGGGTGTAGAAGGCGTGGCGGAAGTAGATCATGACCCAGGCGAGGATGGCGACGTAGTAGGTGCACACCATGTAGCCGGTGAGGATGGTCCCGATGCCGACGCCGCGGGCGTGCTTGTTGACGGTGTTGAAGGCGATGACGCCGCCACCGCGGGCGGCCTGGCCGATGGAGATCTCAAGGATGAGCAGCGGGATGGCCAGGAAGATGAGGGAGATGAAGTAGGGGAGGAACCACTGCAGGCCGTTGTTCTCGAAGACCACGGAAGGGTAGCGCAGGATGTTTCCAAGGCCGACGGCGCCGCCCATGGCCGCCAGCACGAAGGAGGCGCGGCTGGGCCATTGGTCACGGCCGTCGGCGGCCTTTTGGGCGGCCGGGGCGAGGATGTTCAGGACCTTTTTGAAGACGCTCATGGTGGGCGAATTGGGGGACCCTTTTTGAGGGAGCAGGCCACGTGCTATTGGAGCGAAGCTGGGAAGGGAGAGGGAGAGGATCCTCGAAGCATGGAGGAGGAGGAGGAGGAGGAGGAGGAGGAGGAGGGGGAGGAAGAGAAATAGGCGGGAGGACGGGCAGCAGGAGAGAGAAGAACAAGAGCGCGGGAGAAACAGGGCAGCGCCAGGCTTAAATGAAGAAGCGGAAGAAGTGACAGCAGCAGGGATAGCAGCAGGGACAGGACAGGACAGGACAGGACAGGACAGGGAACACGGCCCTGGCAGGGGGAGTGAGATTGGGGCGGTTATATAGGGAGAGGATAGAGGATAGAGGATAGAGGATAGAGGAGGAGGAGGAAGAGTAGGAGGAGTAGGAGGAGGAGGACCAGCAGTAGTAGCAGCAGTAGTAGCAGTGGTGGACGATATCAGAATACCATAGAATACCAAAGATACCAGGCAATACCGAATCCTCCCGCCAAGCCCCACGGTTGCAACCGCCAAGGCCGACCCTGGTCCGTTCCTTCCTCCCCCCCGCACCGCAGCGGAGCGGGGGCCAATCTGGGCAGGCGCAGTGGAGGGAGGACAGGGAAGCAACTGTCTCGGGCCTGGAGTCAAGCTCGTATCAGCATCAGCAGCGCGGGGATGTATTGTAACGTGTGTGTATCTGTGGATGTATCTCTGGAATGATGTATGTACAGTACATGTAATCTGTACGGAGTACGGAGTACCTCGTGTGTACCTCGTGTGGTGTCTTTGTGTGTGTCTGGGTGTGCATTCTCTTCGGATCGCCGGTAACTCGCCATCGCAGCCATGTTTCCAGCATTCCAGCAAACCTTACCCTTCGCTTTCCCCTTCCTGGTCCCTCGAATCTGGAAAAATACAGCACGAGATACCAGAATACGAGACCCGGACCAGTGGTCCTACCGGGGGGGGGGGGGGCAAGGGAACAAGGGGCCCACTCCCCGATACAAAAAGATTGAACCTGAAATATCCTTCGGCTGCCAAGGGTCCGTCCCTGTTCTGGCAGGTTCGGCAAGCTCCCCCAAAAAACAGGTTCGTTAAACGAACGAATCAACTCTGGGGAGTGAGTTAGTTGAATAAAAACCAAGGACTTGGGGTTCCCCCATCCAAGAGGCCGTTTTTCCCTGGTTATTCCCGGCAAAATTCCAGAGTTATTTTATGTTATTGGCAATCATTTTCCAATCCCATGATCCAACCATCTTATGGGGATGATCCAACAGCCATGGCTCCACTCACCCACCCTCCCTTTTTGGGGTGTGATGGATTCTTAGCACGGTGGGGAACGGTGGATCCGGGCATGTGGCGAGGGCGAGGGGGGGTGTTGGGTGTTGTTTGTGTGTGAGTGAGAATGGAGATGATGAGATTAGAATATGATATGATATGTATGGAGAACAACGGAAAGGGGAGAATCCCCTTCCCCCCTCCCCAGCATTGTGTCCACGCGACGCCTGATGATAATGATGATGGTGGTGGCGATGACTCGCCGAGAAACGCCTGCTGCTACGGCTGCTACTCTACCTCCTGCCATGACTTGCATACAAGGGGGGGGGGGGAGGGGGGGGCGTTGTGTTGTGTTGTTGGTAAGGAAAATAACAGCAAAATAAGCGCCAAGCAGGTTTGCGCTCTTCTTTCTTCTTTTTTCTTGTCTGGGCTGGACACTACCACATTGTTCTTCGCTTTTCGATTTTTCGTTTCTCGCCTCCTCACTCCTTACGCTTGTTTAAATTACTTTTCTCCCTACGAACAAGAATTCGGGGGACCGACGGGGGATGCGCTTTATCTCCGCCATTCCGGGTAATCATGTGATCATCACGTTTCCCCCCCCCCCCCCCTTTTCCCTCCGTCGCTTGCCTTTACCGGGTGTTGGTAGCCGAGCTGAGGGTGAGATTGGGGGGTGTTAGGGAAGTATGGAAAAATAACCCGGAACATGAAAAATGGAACATGGTAAATGGAAAATGGCAAAAAAAAAAAAAATAAAATAAAATAAAATAAAATAAAATAAAAAAAAAAAAAAGGTAAAACGACGGTCCTGCGTCGGACACGCTAAGACTAGCCCCAATGCGCTAGACCCGATCGGGCAGCTCCGTTGGACCTGAAGTATCCTAAGGAGGATGGAGGAGGGTGAAGTCACTAGATTAGATGAGTTGAAAGATTGGGATATTGGAAGTAGATGGAAGTTTGATGTTGTTATCGTGACAGGACTTGAGTGAGGTACGAGTGTAGTTACTGTATCGTCTCACTTATCTCATCAACATCAACTTTCACAAACGGGATCCAAAGGACAAAAAAAAAAAAAAAAAAGGATGAAAAAAGCGCAAGAGAAAGATAAAACAAAGAGAGAAGACAAGAAAAAAAAAAAAAAAAGAAAGAAAGAAAGAAAGAAAGAAAAGACACCCTAGAATTTTCTATACATGAGCTATGTATATGGTATATGTACTGTACATATGGAATGGACCGGCGTAGCTACTTCCTCTCGAACTACGCATGCACATACAACCTCCAATGCATGCATCGCCGGCCCGCCGCCCCTGGAGATCGTCGTGCAAGTTACTCTGAACCCCGGTCAAACCAAACCAAACCAAACCAAACCATTTCCCCCCTTCCCCCGCGCCATCACACATCACAGGCGGGAAAAAGAAAAAACAAATAAAAATAACCCGCGGATCAGGACAAGGGGGCCGGACTGGAGAAAGAAGGGCGCGCGCCGGAACGGGTTTTTTCCACACTTGCAATGCCTGCTGCACAATGCACGTTCCAAGCCAAGCGCTGCCGCCTGGAATGAGAGAGGGAGGGAGGGAGGGAGGAGGAGGAGGAGGAGGAGGAGGAGGAGGAGGAGGATGGCAATAAATAAATATCCCATCCAACCCACTCTAATTGTCGTCTGTGTGTAGTTCGGGCAGGGCCAGAGTGTGAGGATTCCCGCCCCGAGTTCTCCCCCCTGATAGAGCTAGAAGAAGGAAAAACCGGTTGGTGCCCAGGGAGTGGAAGTTACATCTAGTTTCCACTGGGGATGATCGTAGCTTGTCTCCTACGCCGGACCGGATCGGACCGGACTCGTGGGTGCCTGTGGTGGGGCGTATGTATATACTGCGCGTGTGTATGCGAATAATTGCTTTTTGTCGGGGAATGTTTTCATCCCGGCAAGGAACGCTTGACGATTTGACGCTTGAAGCACAGGCACAGGCACAGGCACAGGACAAGCATATGGACTACCATAGTGAACCCCCCTCCCCGGGAAAAAGTGGGTACACATTCTGATCTCTTCCACCGCCCCTACTCGCCCGACCCATGATTCGAGGCCATCGCAGTTGGGCGTTCATATAAGGTGTGATATCCGGGAGATACAGAGAGGACTCGATGGTTTTTGCCGCGCGCGCATCAATCGTAGCTTGGTGCAGAATGTGTAGCCTTTCGTCGCGCGCTATCTCTCTCTCCCCATCCCCTGAGACCGTCGAGTGGCGATCCGGTTCTCGTAGGTGTGACTGTGACTGTGACTGACTGTGACTGTAGCTCTTAAATCTTTGCAGCGCGCGTGGGCGCTGGGTATGGGCATCGCGCATGACCACGTAACTAACTGTATAGTACAGTACATCCATGTACAGTAAGTACATTATATTTTGCCCTGGGTCAACGTGTGTGCTTAGTGGTTTTAGGCGTACACAGTAAAGTGGTTCCAGAAACACGCACAGTTTCGCCTGCAAGCTGCTGAATGAGCCACTGTCCCGGATCCCAGCCCGGGTAGGTGGGCATATTGTAATCACAATCCCGTCTGCAGTGGCGCGGCCGACCGATCTAACCGTGCATATATATATATATATACGTATATAATATCGCCAGTGGATTCTTCTGCTCTGACGTCTGCGATGGATTTGGGCATGGCCTGTCCGCGCTATATATATATACATATATATAATATCTTGGGGAGAGGCTCTGATTTGGGGGCACTCTGTGTCCATAATTTCTTGTTGTGGATGGCGGTTGTGGAGGTATGCGTTGCTGATGCAAGATGCAAGATGACACGGTCACGGTCACTCATCTGACGTTGGGTATGGGAAATGGAGGGAGTTAGTAAGCAGGTACCCGGCAATGGGAGATCCCCTACCTAGACTTTTTTTTTTTTTTTTTTTTTTTTCTTAAATAACTGTTTAAGGTGAATAGTTAGTTACACATTGACTCGCTCCTTAATGACACACAGTTCGAGAGGGTCCTAGAGTGCCCCATGGCGAGAAGTTGGGAGCGCTTGTTTGCCAGATCGAGCCTGTTGAGCAAAACGTATCAGTTCCGTGTGATCTCAGAGTGATGTTTCCTGCACGCGAAGGATGGGATAATCGGGAGCAAGGGGAGAATGAGAATGGAAGACTGGAAGATTGTTTGTGCCTGGTCTCAACAAGAGGTGGGGAGGACGATATATAACCCTAATAATAAGTTCCAGGGATAAAGTGTCAGCGTATACTGCGAGTCATTTATCTTTCGGTAACCTCTCCACGGCGTGCATCCACCGTGGCCAATCCCATATATAGCCGTATATCATCCTTGTAGATCGGCTTCACCGGCAGAGTAGAGGGTAGTGACATCAATGATTTCAAGATGGTGCGCATTCTTCACATGTGAGATCCCAACGCCGTATCTCCATAGACACCGATCGCAGAGATTCAAGGACCAGTGCAGATGGAATCCATGGGACCCAGCCTCGTTGCCAGGGCTCGCTCAGAGCTAGCCCTGAGCTTGCTGGCTGAACAAGCTGAAACCGCAGTGAGTGTTGTGAGTGTTGAGTGTCGTGTGTTGTGTGTTGTGAGTGTTGGGACACAAGACAACCAGCACAGAATACTGCCACCGCCGGCTCTCCGCCTTTGCAGCGCCCAACCACGGTCGGCGGTCTTGGCCCCATCTGGTCCGCCAGTATCAAGCAGCCATGGCCACCTCCAGATATCATCCTCACCATCGTCGTCCTCATCATCACCGTCGTCATCCTCCACCATCCTCACCCATCAACCCCATCAACCCCATCAACCCCATCAACACCATCAACACCATCGTCCCCTTCGCACTTGACGCCCTCCCCACCGACAGCGTCTGCTCGTCCCTGCTGCTGCCCGCTCTGCCTTCTCCACGAGCATCTCCTCCGCTGCCATCCTTGCTGCCCATAGGCTGCCTTCCACCGTTACTCGCTGTCCTTCGCGTCCCTGTTCCTGGAGCTAAAGCTAAAGACAGGTTTTGACCCGCAAGCCACATCAGTGTCCACAGCTGCTGAGAGGGTTTGGTCCTTCCAGCCATCCTCCTAACGCTTTTTTCCAAAGGCAACACGTTTTGATTCTTCCGACGACAGCCCTCCTCCCTCTCTCCCCTTCTCTCCCTTCTCCCCCCTTCTTCCATCATTAACTATGGCTGGCACACGAAATTACGATTTTTTGGTACGTTTCCGGGAATTTCGTAAACTTCTTGGTGGGGAATTGGGAGAGGAAATTATTCCTCTCTGTTGATTTGCTTTTTATTTTTATTTCTATTTCTATATATATTTTTATATTTTTATTTATTTATTTATTCATCTATTTATTCATTGATTTATTTTGCCCTATGTTAACTGTTGTTGTTCTGAATCAGATCAAACTGCTACTCATCGGCGATTCGGGTGTGGGGAAATCATGTTGCCTGCTGCGGTTCAGTGAGGATTCATTCACCCCATCTTTCATTACGACAATCGGGATCGACTTCAAAATCCGGACGATAGAACTAGATGGGAAACGTGTAAAGCTACAAATATGGGATACAGCTGGCCAGGAAAGATTCAGGACGATCACCACCGCATATTACCGGGGTGCCATGGGGATACTGCTTGTTTACGATGTGACCGATGAGCGGTCTTTCAACAGTGAGTTTGGTTGTTTTCTTTTCTACTATTTGCATTTATTATGTTTCTTAGACGATTGTTTCGGGTCAAACAAGCTGTCAGCGAGCTAACCCTCTATTTAAGACATCCGGACATGGTTCTCGAACGTTGAACAACATGCAAGCGAAGGCGTACATAAAATGCTTATCGGCAACAAATGTGATTGGGAAGAGAAGAGAGCCGTGACAACGGAGCAGGGCCAGAAACTGGCCGACGAACTAGGAATCCCGTTCCTGGAAGTTTCAGCGAAAAATAACATCAATGTCGAAAAGGCCTTCTACACCCTAGCCTCCGATATAAAGAAGGTTATGGACACGACCAAATCCGAACAGGCCGGTTCCCAGGGCGTGACTATAGATCATCAAGGCAGTGGGGCAGGCAACCTTGGAGGCAAATGTTGTTAGGATGCTCATTGTTTTTTCTCACCCCTTCGTTTTTTTTTTTTTTTTTTTTTTTTTTTTTTTTTTTTTCATTCTTTATTTATTCTTTATTTATTCTTTATTTCATGTGAACAGGCGGCATTCCTTGTGTACTATCTAGAGAGGGATATAGGCTTTTTACCCAAGCTCTCCTACTTTTAGTTACCACCCCGCTAATGGCGTCTCCAGATCCTTCATCTATCACTTATCCAACAAGTCGGTTAAATCCTTTTTGTTCTTTCCTACATTTATTTGTTCCTTGCCTTATTGACTTTCGACCATTTGCTGATGATTCCATTTCCACTTTCACCTGTTCTTCCCTCTCAGTGTCTCTGTTTTGTTTCCTAGATGGCGTCATTTCACCAGCATTCGTTATTTCTTCCCTCCTCCGCAAGCCCCCCATAACCTCCCACCACCCCCAAAGAATAACCGCGTGGGTATAACCGCGTGGGTTGTATTGAATCACAATCACTTGTGCAATCCATATTGAGATCATATGGCTGTTTTGATAACAACTAACCCATGCCTCGCAATTCCGGATGCCTTTGATCCATTAGTTGATACACATGTGGTACTTGGCGTAAAAGTAACAATACAAGTAAAAGCACGTTGTGGTAACGCCTAGCTTTTCTCCAACAGGTCCCACAACAAACCAGGACATCCAATGTAAGTCTTTTTTTTTTTTTTTTTTGAACTGGTTGTTATTTAAAAGATCCCGGGATCAACAGACGTCGCCTTCAAATAGGCACTCGGCCTTCATCAACGGCGGGGGGTCGGGGTAAAACGGTAACGCATCCAGTTTGGGGAGCACGCTCCTGTGCCAAACCCTGACAAATCGCCTCGCCTCTGCCGCAGTCTGAAACGCGATGCGCCAGCAATCGCCCTCCGCCGAACTCTCCTCGTCCGGGGTCAAGATCTCGTTGGAAAGCGGTTCCATCAGCGGCGTAATCGGGTCCTGTTCGACCAACTGCCACGGCGACCACCTGTTTTGCCCGTCCCACAGCAGGAGTCGACGGACGTATTCCTGCTTGAGAGTGAAACGGCTCTGGCTGTCGATCCAGATTCGGACCGGGAATCCGTGCTTTCCATGCCTGGACGCCAGGTTGTTGTGGAGGTCGATCGCGTCTTGAAGCTTCTGGTCGAACGGCTCCAGGCACGCATATAGGGAAAGCGGCAGCCAGGGCGATGTGAGGGTGTAGTCGTTCAGCCTGTACTCGCACGCACCATCGGCGGTGTAGTTCGGTGGCGGCGTGATGCGGGACATGCTGGATGTTGGAAGATTGTCACGGGCAAATTCGAAGAGGCGATACACCTTGTCCTGGAACTCCTTCGCGGCGGCAGGGCTGTAGAATATCAAGATCCACGTATTCGAGCGCCGTAGGGTATCAGGGAAGCGCAGGGGAATTACTACCAATCCCCGGCGATGTGTTATGTTAATATAAATAGAAAAAGCACACCCAGTCCGAGTAACTAGTATAACTTGCGCACGAACGTCATCTGAGGGGAAGAAATGAAAAAATGCCCACTTTTCTCAAGACCTCTTGTATTTCTCCATTTGTTGAGGTATTTTCCCTGGCCCAGGATTGACATGAAGTCTCGCTCGTCCAGGCAGGCTGGGGCGCGAGACAGGGCGAGGGCCGTTCTATGTTTTTGGCGGCTTTCCTCTTCAGAGGTTATGGAGATACGGCCTAGCTTGTCGATGGTTGCGCCCGTGTTATTAGAGTCGGGTATCTCGGACAGCCCGAATGTTTTGAGTAAGTCGGCGTGTTCTAGGGATATTCTCTCCGGGTCAAATCGCGGCCGGCTGCTCCTGTCCGTTGTCTCCGTGTCCTTCATGCCTACTCCATCCTCTGCTTCTCTGCGCTCACTAGGCGGTATTTTAAACCTACCTCCATGCCTTCGAGCCGGAGTAGATGCGAAGAATCGCAGCAATTGCGTTGGCTTGGCGGGATATGTCCTTGTGAAGGCTGGAAATCGCGAAGGAAAGAACATGCTGGGGCTACGATGGCGAGAGATGAAAACACATTATGTGTCGTAGCTGTCGTCAAAGGTAGCGCTGCTTGTTGCCAACGCGCTTTTCGAAGATTCGCAACGAAGCCGCAGTATTCTGGATAATAATAATTTGAGCCAATTGCGTACGCAGAGGAGCAGAAAGCTGGTAATTCACCGAGTTTTCTTCCATTTCTCGCGGCGTTGGAAGAAGAAGAAGAAGATGATGATGATGATGATGGATTTTCTTATCTTATCTGATTAGGGTTTTCAACATCGCCCAAGAAACTCTTTGACGATGGATCTCAAAGCTGTTAAACCCCCGCCTTGAATTACAAACTAGACTATTTAGCTGTTGGCCGGTGTGCTATTTACACCTATAGGCAAAAAAAGATTATTATGAGGTGAAATATATCTCGCTCTATGTCATACTGACAAAGTACTGTGTGCTAATTCTCGCTCTTTAATTTTAGCATGGACAGTGTACAGACCCATCTTTTTCCATTACTCCCATTCAGAATACATCCAATCTATCCCCGCCTTTTTTGCGCAACCCTGATTCAATAGCAATCCATATCCCGAGACGCGGGAACTCAGGATGGCGGCGGACGGACCTAAGTTCACGGTTCGGCCGCTGTCGAAACAGCCTAGAAACGATCAGAAGGACTCCTTCCGTGTCTCTCTGTCTCCTTCTTCCCTGCTCCTTGTGAAAGCTAGACCGGGCGATCTGTGTCGACTGGAATCGGCAGAAGGCCCCCAAGGGACGGCCATCGCGTGGGCTTCTGCTGAGAGAATTCCAGATACTGTTGTTCAGACATCGAAAGCTGTTCAGGATCTCTATGGCCTTAAGCTGGGAGAGAAGATATCGATTTATCGAGAGCATGAACCTTTGGACGAAATATCAGCTGTACGTCTCGAAGAATGCACAGACGCCAGCAAAATTTCTGCTTTTGGCGCGCTTCTGGAAACGGATAGACCGCACTGGGAGTGGGGTCTTGAATACCCCTTGATTAAATGTGAGATCATCGCGGAAGGGATGGTGTTCGACTTAGACCTTAGGGGCAATCGTAGAACCTTTAAAGTGGTAGAAATCGAGCCTCTCACGCAAAGTCGGAGTAATACCATCTTTCAATTTACTTCCAGATCCAAGGTATCCATTGGACAGGCCTTGCGACGTCAGCCCCTTCCTTCCTCACTTGTCGTGTCGCCCACAGGATTGGGTGGCCTTGGCCAGCAAGTAATGCAGATTAATGAGAGGCTACGTGACTTTACATTCCAGGAGCATAACGTGGCTATGCCTTCATTTTATCGGAATAGTGGCGGGATTTTAATCTACGGCCCAAAAGGAACAGGGAAGAGCACACTCTTGTCCAAACTCGGTGCTGCAGGGTGGAAGAAAGTGCTCACCGTCAACAGCTCTGTACTGAACAGAAACCGAGGCGATGGGGAGGTGCTGTTGCGCAAGATCTTCACCGAAGCTCTTCAGTCTCAGCCATGCCTTATTGCCATAGACCAATTGGATTACCTCGCTCCCAAAAATCGACCTAATGATTCATCTATATGTTCAGCACTCTGTGAAGCCCTGGATAGTCTACAGGATGCAAAAGTTCTCGTGGCCGCATGCACAAGGCACCCGAACGATGTTGACGACAACCTTAGAACACCCCATCGGTTTGGCGTCGAGATCGAGTTACCCGTTCCGACTGCTAAGGGGCGAGAAGAGATTCTGTTATCCATCCGAGGAACGTCCAATGTGCCAAATGACCATCAATTGGCAAAATTGGCGGAACGGACTCACGGATACGTCGGTGCCGACCTGTTTTCGTTATTGCAGCTTTCGTGTAGAAAAGCACAGACTAGGCAAATATTGCAATTGGAACAGGGCAAGTCGTGTTCAAGTGAGCAACATATTTCGGGACTGGCAACACCTTCGGAGAGCGGAGCTCCCGATGAGAATTTCCTTCAAATCGATGATACGGATATATCACTCGCGCTTCAAGAAACTCGCCCGACGGCGATGAGAGAGGTTTTCCTGGAGACGCCCAAAGTGAAATGGAGCGATATTGGTGGACTACATGAAATAAAAGAGCGTCTTCGGAAGGCGGTGGAGAGACCACTCAAAGTAAAGACTGAACTCAACCCACTGAGCAAGTTTGCTCGCTAGAAGGAAAAAAAAAAAAAAACCACGGAATGGCTAACATGTCTTGATTAGTTTCCTGACCGAATGAAGCGACTGAACATAAGCGGCAAGAAGGGTATTTTGCTATACGGTCCTCCTGGTTGTTCTAAAACACTGATGGTCAAAGCACTGGCGACTGAAGCCGGGTTGAACTTTCTGGCAGTCAAAGGGGCTGAGATCTTGAGTATGTATGTCGGGGAGTCGGAACGGGCACTCCGTGAGATATTTCGAAAAGCACGATCGGCCAGTCCGAGCATTATATTTTTTGACGAAATTGATGCGATTGCTTCGCGACGAGGCAGTAGTGCAGTTCAGGGGGGCGGCGGTGGTATTAATGTACTAACGACTTTGCTCAATGAAATGGACGGGATTGAAGAGCTGAAAAACGTGCTTGTTGTGGCGGCAACGAACAAGCCGGAGGTTCTCGACCCTGCTCTTATGCGCCCTGGGAGACTGGATAATATTCTGTATATTGGGCCCCCAGACGTGCAGGCGCGGAAGGAGATTTTAAACATCTGGATTAGTAAATCGGAAGTGGATGACGACGTCGATATTGACATGTTAGCCGAGGTGACTGAAGGGTACTCTGGAGCGGAGATGGTTAATATCTGTGAAACTGCAGCCGACAGTGCCCTAGACGAGGAGGAAGAGACTGGCCGGCAGCAAAGAATAGGATGGAGACACTTTGAATCTGCATTGGACCAGGTGCCCAGGCAGATATCATCGGCGGTGATTCAGGGTTATGAGAGATGGAGAGACGACATGAAATGAGCATGACCAAATAAACATCAATTCTTCCCCTCAATGACATGTATACATATGTATTGAGTATGTATGTCATTTTGATTTTATTCCTCTCGTCTCTATCTCTCACCTATCCAATTGGAACTCTGCGGCCTTACATACATAGGTCGCCATTCTCACGCTATCAACTTGCCAACCGTGTGCAGGACGAGAAGGACCTGGAGATAGGATACTTACACCCGGCCAGGAGCTGCTTTATTTTATAAGCCAGAGCGTGTACACCCTTGATACACACAAAAATACCACCAGAGTTAAGCAAGTATCACTCATTGCTCTTCTACATATTACATATTACATATTACAGCTGTCTAGGAAAGTGCTTCAACAGTGGACAAGCTCCACTACGATCTAATAAAAATCTCTGCAAATATATATATATATATATATTTACTAGTAAGGATTGATCCTTTTTGGCGTAGTGGTGAAGCCTTTCTATAAGATTTGTGACTTGAAACTAGGCCTTGCATGTCTTGCCTTTGACTACAAGCTGGAGCAACCGCCGGCTATTAAAAAGATCTGTCTATATTTTATATTGTCATACCCGTGGAGACGAATGTATATACAGATTATTAGAGAGATCAATATCTCAGTTAATCGCAGAACTAAACCAGCGAATAATTAAAACAATATTTAGAGGCGGTAGAACGCAATATAACATAGTATTATAATACATAGTTACATGAATTCAGCATCAGCAGTATTTCTTTCTTTCTTTCTTTCTTTCTTTCTTTTCTGGTTTCGGAATCCTTGGCAAATGTCGTTGAGTTTATTAAATATCGCGCTTCTGCCGCCTCAAGCTTCGCCAACCATCAACTACAGCGCAGAAGCACCCGCGACAACTGAAACAGCTTCCATATGGCTGTTCATCAGCGCATCTTTTCACTCAATTAGCTGTTATTGTTATTTTGCTCTTGGTCTCCCTCTCTGTGTGTGTTTTTGGAGTGAAGCTTTGCAGTTTCTAGCTCGCCCATAGCCGCGATGCGTTCTCGATCGCCCTCCCGGTCCCGATCTCCTTCTCCAGCACACTCCCGTGGTCGTCGTAGGTCGCATACACCTGTTCGCTCGCATTCGCGGCGGAGGTCTCCTTCGTTGCGATCCCGCCATTCAGATGCCTCGCGATCCCGGGCCCGCTTGAGAGATGCAAGCCCCGGTATGTCACCAAGGCGGAATGGGCATCGGGATGGAAGCAGATCTCCCCCTCCACGCAATAGAACCCGCAGCAGAAGCTTGAGCAGAGGTCGTGGCGATCGTCGATATCGAGACAGAAGCTTCACACGAAGCCCAAGCCGCGGTACTCCTCCTCGGACCAGTTCGAAGGTAGCGTCCATTTTTCTTCACTGTGCCACTTCTGATATTTTGTTTTCAAATGAAAAAAAGAAAGAAAAGAAAAGAAAATCATGTCCCATACGTCGCAGTTCGATATATCCAGTTCTGCAAGCTATTGTCTCGTAAATTCTTTGATGCTAATCGGGTTTTTGCAGATTGTTGTTGAGAAGTTAACCAAGAACGTGAATGAAGATCATCTACGCGAAATTTTCGGCGCCTATGGGGAAATACAAAGCTTGGAATTGCCCATGAACCCACAATGTACGTGATGGGTTCATTTATTATCATCATCCTTGTTTTGATCATTTTGTTTGTCTGACAAATTACACGCGCAGTTATGATCAACCGCGGCACCGCCTATATTCTATACTACGAAGTAGCAGATGCGGAAGCAGCTATATCGCATATGCACGAAGCGCAACTTGATGGCGCTGTCCTCAACGTATCCATTGTCCTGCCTCGCCGCACGTTTTCTCGCTCTCCTCCGCCAGCTCGGAACAGGGGCGATTTTGGCCGCTTTGATCGACCTGCTCATGGGAGGCCTTATGGTCGAGGCCCCGGCTTGGATTCTGGAAGACCTCCGCCTTCGGGAGGGCGGTATCGCTCTCCCCCGCCCCGTCGTGCATCCCCCCGGCGTTTTGCTGGTCCCCGCGGCATGGAAAGACACGATCTATATCGTCCTCGGTCGATTTCGAGATCACGCTCCCCGCGGGGTCGCTCGCCCTCCTATTCCTCGCGATCACGCTCCCCGCGGGGTCGCTATCCTTCCTATTCCTCGCGATCACGTTCTAGAACTCCGCCGCCACGCAGAAGGCCTCATAGGGATAGCCCCCCTCGTCGTAGGAGGCGGGCCTCCAGCTACAGTAGCTACAGCGACCGTGGCCGGAGCCGGAGCAGAAGCAGAAGCCTGAGTCGCAGCCGAAGTCCTAGTCAGAGCCGCAGCCGTCGCGGTGGCGGAAGGCGGTAGGTGGTTATTTCCTAGGAGGTGGCTCTACTAATGTACTTATTTCCTACAACTATTGTAACTTCTATGTGAAACGGTGAGCGATAGGAAAAAAGGACCTTCAGGGCCTATGGTTTCATAGTCATGGCGTATGAAATAATACACTCGTTTCGGATTACAGTAATATGGTTTAGGGGGTGAGTTGGAAAAAAGAAAAAAGAAAAAAAGAAAAAAAGAAAAAAAAAATTACTCAGTTGAAGGCCCATCATTAAACCCGTGTAGAATCAATCACCGTTAGATGCAAAAAGCCTAGGCGAGAATCAATCAAAAAACTGACTCAGAAGAAAGCGCACCACCCGATATACATAGCAGCCAGATGCTTTATACTTGTGGCTTGAATGATCAGCTCCTCTACATGGCCACCTACAGATAGCGGAACGGATTCGCCAGGCAGCAGGCCTCGCAGTTTGTTTCGTACAGACTCGAGGACCCCTTCGGGTGTATCTGGGACTTTCGGGTTTGTTCGTTTCTTGCTTGCGGGTTAGCGAGTCCATTGATGAAACTAAACTCCTAGCAAAGGAGGGAGGGTTATGTGCTGTTGTGGAACAACCAACTTTTCTGCCAATAAAGTCTGTCGTGGGATCGTGTAGGAAGGTCTCCAGGATGGTCATGAGCGAATCCTCGTTTTGTCGTAACAAGCCAAGTGTGAGCTCGCAGGTCTTTCGGAATGGTCCTGGATCCCAATTTTAGTGTTGCGAATCTTGAAGCGGAGGCGGGGGTTTAAAAATACTAACCATTATATCCATATGCCCCGAATGCGTTGATCATATTTTGCGTCAACCGGAATGGAACCAATTCAGGTTTATCGAATGTCAATCCCTTGGAAAAAGTCAGTGCTGCCGTGCTTTGGCTTTTTTGTATGAATACGGAACTTAGGTGCATACCTTGTCAAAAAGACAGTTAAAATCAACATGGAGCACACCGCCGCTATTCTCCTCGAAGAGTATATTCTCGCCATGCCTGTCTCCGAGACTATTATATCAAACAGCTTTAGATTAACCGGGACCACGTTATCTAGGTGTCTCAGGGGTGAAAACTTACCCCAAGCAATAGCCGACCATGGACATCACAGCGCTGCTCCTAGTGTATTTCAAACGTGCAGTGAACCATGCACCAGGCTCGGGGAACATTTCAACAAACCATTCATGTAGAACTGGAGGATAACTGCGTAGCTTTAGAACGTACGTCATTTGGGGATGCAAAGGGGGTATATGACTTACGCTGCTAGGATTTTGTTGGTGAAAAGATGAAGCTTTGATGGATCCGCACATGCTTCATTCAGATAGTGCCCGATTTCCTTGTACTACAAAATTAGTCAGTACAATCTAGAAGGGGTTCGCAATATGAGGTGAAATGCGTACGTTCGGAGTGATCCCCTTTTCCTTGAGAAGCCTGGTCACGAGCTCTCTCAAAGTCCTTAGGTTGTCAACCCATTCAATAAGCCCACATTCTTCGTTTAACGGAGTTACCGCGTAAGTTTTGATGTCTGACACGTAGTTAGGAAAATGACCTGTTGCATTTTGTGTTTTTTAAGAGGAATAGGTATCCGCCGGCTCACATAGACGTCTCTTGCTTGACTCAACATCCCGTTTCAAAAATCGGTTAATCATGCTATTGAACTCCATCAACCGCTGGTCTTTGCGAAGATCATCTTTTGGCTTGCATAGGAGACTGTAAATGTTTCCGTCTGAGCCCCGGATACTGATCTTACGAGGTTTCTGCAGCGAGTTGAGAACCAGAGCATCGTCGAGAACGGCTGATAATATAAAGTTAGACAGGCATGAAGGGTTTCAGAAAATACGAAGTATTGCTTACTTTCAATGGTAATGGGGTCATGAGGGAAAGCTCGAAATGATTTCAAAAAGGCCGGTTCATGGTTGGTGGGTAATATTGGAGTCAAGGTCGCTTCTAACGGTATAACAAGCCTGCATGGTGCTGTCCTGTGGTTGAAGCCAAGGGTTCTTGCCAGGCTAACCTTTGGAGTCTTATCTTCAATGGATGTATTACACAACTTCAACAATTCCTCCGAAAGTCGCTGCCCTTGGTTAATGATACTCCGAAGCTCCGAAGCTGACATGTCGGTTTTCATTTTTTTGGTAGCCTCCTGTTATCATCAGTAATGCCGTGCTTAATAATCGTGACACACACATACCGTTATTTTTTGAAGGCACGACATGCCCCGAGATGCCCTATCTTTAGACGAGGACTTCAACACTGCGAGAACAGTCCATAGGGCTTGCTGTGGGAATGAATTTGCTGTTTTTACCACAATCTGAGTAAGGATATTGTACACGGTTGAGTTGCTATGGCAAATTCGAGCGACTACTTGCGGGAGGATGGTGAAAAGCTGGGAACATCAGCAAAATATTTTAGCAAGTGGTGTCAATGTTATACACACCAATGCAGCAGGTATCCGATTGAAATATTTGCGCAACTGCGTATGCATGTCATCAAGGCATTTTTTTCTCTGAGCCATGCTGTATTTTTGAAATTCCCTAGATAATAGTCAGCAGAAGGTCATAAGTGGAAATTTATCAGATCTCACTCATTATCACCCCTCTTGGGATCAAAAGGTTGGTCCACAGCAGTAGCGTGCTCCAACCATAAAGTCAAGACTTTGGGTAGAGTCTGGAAAACATATTTGTTGCCGTGGGCGAGTGAACGAAGAAAATTGTCAATAACAAGTTTTGACGCCTCACCACTCAAACTAGAGATTTACCTATTAGCTATGTGCTCTAACCGTATGGGTATTTATCATACATACTATATTTGCGCTTCTTTACCCAAAGGCTTTGACTTTTCTGAATCCAGGATTTTCGTGTAATGCCTCCCTAGGTAATAGTGTGCTTTCTCCCACCTAAGTAGAGTAAGTAGACCGCTTATGCACGTGTACAACGAAAATGGCTGATACAGGATAGGGGAATTGATCGTCGTAAGACCACTTACCGACTATGGAATTTAATAGCCTGCCTGTACCTTTGAACGATAACTTCTGACTGTGTTTGGCCAGCGCTATCCATCCATTTTGCGAGCAAAAGGTGTGCCTTTAATAGTGAGCAAAATACAAAATATTAAGAAGGGAAAATGTCTCTCTTACCCGAGCTGTAACCATGTTTTGCTTCTGCTGTCGATCAGGGGCTACTGATAGAAATGTCTCTTCTGACGGAGCGTAATCATGAGCAGTAAATGCATTCGCTGCAATCGCACCTTCTAAAGTCTGTATTGCCTTTCTATGGTGACCTTCTTTCCACAAAAGCCTAGCGTGTTCAATAGTAGCTGACGTATCATCAAGCTCATGAGCATGAAGAACGGCATTGAATGCCTGCTCCGTGCAGTTTGCTTTACGAGCAAGACGAGCGACACGCAGCCAAAGCGAAGCAAGGTCGAAAGAATCAAACGAAGAGCTTTTATTATCCAAGTCAGCGCTACTCTTATCGGGAACAGGAGCACCTATATATGCTGGATACTTACGTCAACTCCATTGTTGCTCGCCTCAACCCGAGAAGGTATTGTTTATCAGCGATACATCCACCAAGAATATCTAATCGACGGTCCAATATCTCAAAAAGTGCAATTCGATCCTCTCGAGTTTTGGGAGCAGGAGACGTGAGTAACTCGATTTCGGCAAGAGCATGGAGTTTAAGGACGTTATCATGACTTGCATGGAACGAGGCCACTGAATTTGATGTGAATCCTTTCGCGACGTTAAGACGTAACTTCGTGATTGTATCTTTGAATTTTCCGAGTTTTCCATGACGGAGCATACTAAGAGCTGAGCCTATTGCAACATTAAAGTCCCCAACAGCTTGATCAGAGGCTATCCTCACGTAATTATCCAATTTGTCCCATCTGCCGGTCAACCATGATGCTTCCATAGCGATGGGGAGCATTTTCGGTAGCGTGGACTTCGCCAACTCGAGGGTGTCGAATTGGTTGAGAAGACCAACTAGGTGTGTCTCAGCGGGATGTTCAGTTTCAGTGCAGTGAAAATAAAAATGATCATACCGTGTTGGCCTGACTCCTTCAGGCATGTCAATAAATTCTCCTGGGCATATCCGTTTGTCGGGTCTGTTTTGAGCTGCAACTCATACCAACTTTGAGCCGCCACCCATCGGCCCGCTTTGCGGTGCTCAAGTATCTGCTGGTCAATATTAAGAACATGAAGATAAGCGGAAATACCTTCTATACCATCCGGTTCGTCGATTTGCGTATATATTTCCTGCAGCCTTTGATAAAGAGGTTCAAGGGTAGCGGCATTTGTGTCACCCTTCTGATGCTGTTGTTGTTGCTGTTGAATATACTGCTCCCAATGGAAAAGTGCTCTTGAGAAGGATTTGCATTCGACCGCCCGCTTCGATATGATCTCAGCAGGTACACAGGAGAGAAGCTCCTCAACGAGTTTTATTTGAGATGCCCATGAATTAAGCACTGGATCTCGGTTTGACCGATGATTGATGGCAACAGCAAGGCTAGTATACTCTTTTTTCTTTCCATGGAGCCATCGAGATAGGTAATCAAGAACGGAAAAAACGCTCTTTCACAAGTCCATTGTTAGCATATTTCACGTTGTCCACGACGAAGACAGATAACGCACCTCACTACACAAAATTATGTTTTCTCTGATTTGATGATTATTTTCAGGAAGCGGGTACTGGAGGACATTTAGCAACTCCTTCTTTAAATCGTCCCTTTGATTCTGATCACCACTGAGCGCCAGATTCAGAGCTGCAAAGGGGAGAAGAAATGCGGCGATAGATATGTCTTGACTTCGTATGATTCTGCTGCTGACGCTGAAAATTATAACCACATTCTCACCTTTCCCTTTTTGTAGCATGTCGAGTGTAAAAGTTCGGAGCCACTCAGGATGGCTTAGTTTCGATGAAAACAAAGGGTAATCACAACTTGTGCTAATGGCGCCAATTGTAACAGTATATTTTGAACTTAGAAACGGTGTCAAAGTGTTTCTCACATATTCCGGCAACGAAAGCCACCGTCGGTAATACTCATTTGCTTGGCTGTCTTGCGAACGGGGATGAATGACCAAATCCAGATTGCAAAGTTTCAGCAACGCCTGCATAGCGTATGCAAGGAAACCCTGAGCTCTGGTATTCGAGGCTGATAGGAAGGCCTCGACCAAAACATGCTGGAGGAAAAATAATATAAAATCTAAAGTTTCTTCCGCACTATCGAAGTTCGACAAAACGAGGATATCCTTCTTTTCTTTAACCAGTTCGATTCGATTCGGGTCCAAGCATCCAATGTGGCCCAGACACCGTGCAGAGAGGTTCATTATTGTAGGAGATGTGGGATTAAATTTGGAGCTACAATCCAATAATGACCGGGTTAACTGGGCCACGATACCGTCCAGCTGTTCGTTAGTAATGACCCGGTGAATAAATTCCTCGTTTTCCAGCAATTCTCGGTCAAGCTCCTTCAGTGCTTGTTCAACAACTACTTGGTTCTCATTTTGACAGCGTCGGCAGAATGTCTTGAATCGGGTTTGAAGGTCCATTCGTCCCTTAAGCTTCTGGATCTCTTTCTCATATTCCGCCATGGAGGGGATAGATGATAACGAGGGCATGGTATCGAAAGCATTTTTCACAACGGCCTTATGCTCGGTCAAAATGTGACCGACAAGGCTAAATGCCCGTTCCCTGCTCTCTAGCTGGAATGTGTCCCAATTTTTGATAATGATCGAAAATGTCTGGTCGATCAGCGGTTCGATCTCAACCTCATCGAGCGAAGTTATGATGATACTCCACGACGCAAAAGCTTGATCACAAAGCTCCGGTATATCTAATGCTGATCGCAAGCAAGCACAAATCTACAGTGAATGAGCTACATTTAGCTCATGTCGATTAACTTTGGAATACGGAAGACTAACCTGTGGTAGAGCGATGGTAATATTACCTTTCGCTATCTTTACCATCTCTCCAATGGCGATTATATTCCTCTTCTTTTCTACAATAGGCTGTCGGATTTGAAAATCGTTAACGACGTGGGCGAACTCGGTAATGATACCTAAAACATGTTCTTCAATGAAATTTGCGACCAGCTCTTCTCTGCTTAAAGAATCAATTCCTTGCTCTGGCTTTCGCGGTGTAAGGGATGCAAGAAGCTTGAGCGCCTTATAATACTAAACTCGCGATGTTAGCGTTCGTACAATTTGAGAACCATTCATTTTTCCATCTTACCTTGGATCTTTCGGCATTAGTAGAATCCCCCAACCCTTTGAGAAGCTCGCAAGCAATAAGAATTGGTTCTGCTCGAACCCATCCTGCTAAATCGTGGACCTGAAACTCAGGCGACATCTCGTTAAAAATTGATACAACCATCGCATTATGATCGCTTGTCGGCTGGGTTAACAGCAGGGTGAGAATCGACGCTAAATTATTCTTTCTTGTGCAAAGCTGGTAAGGGGATTGTTTCTCATCATATGTGGCCCCGATGCGTGCTATAATGTCGGACTTTCTCATCAAGACAAGGTATGGCAAAACGTGGACTTCGGTCAGCCTCAAGAAATTATCTACCTTCATTCCAAGAAGGTCGCACAGCTGATCCGCCATTTGTGGTCGACTATGGATGTTTTTTACAATCACAACAGAGAGTGTCCTCCAAAATGGCCTACAAAGGGCACCCGGGGTCACTCCTAAATGCTGGGCAAGTTTTGAAAGCTGATACCAGTCAGCAGATAGCAATGGAAGATCGGGGAGATAAAAAGAAGGCCCACCCCGGTATAAGCAATAGCATTAATGAATGGATTTGGATGACCAAGATATTCGAAAAGACGAAGAAGGATGATGTTCATTTCCTCATCCCCAGAAACCCTTTTACTTGTCAGTCGCGATTTCTATATATCCAAGTATGAGAGCACTTACTCTGCTAAACGACCCAAAGCCATGATCGAGGTTTCTTGAATTGGCATATCAACTTTTTCGAGAACATTTTGTAAATATTCTAGCGCAATTACGAAATTAGCCCGACGAATATCCGAGCTCAGATTTGCTCGTAGAAAGGCAGGTAAAGTTTGTCTACCATCAAATATTAGCTTATATATACCAGCTTCATCCAGAATTGAAAGCCTACTTACCCTGCAGCCATCCTCAGCTCTCTGAGGGAGCTGCGGAGGGATTGAAGACACCATTCGCCCAATGGGGATGAATGTAGTGCAACGTTTTCGTTTTTTGGATCATGCATCACGATATTCCTAATCCCAAACATGGCGGCTATTCGAGCCTTCCTAGATCCTTGAACAACGGGAATTATTTCAGTCATAGTTTTACATATTTCGCTGAAATGTGAGCTCTCCTGAGGCCGATTGTTAGGGAGTCTCGGTGAAACACTATCGCAAATCAAACATCGGAATTGAGGCCCAGTAACATTGCTTGGCTGCTCTATCACCAAACTTCCCGCACCAGCACAGGCAATCCTCCCAATCATAGTTAAAACCTCACAATGGTCCTCCTCTGATAGCTTCGGTAGAGCATTTCTGTACAGAAAGTTAGTGCTTTTCGTCGGTTGAAGCTGTGGTATATGTGAAAGCTTACAAAACGATTTGGCTTAGCCCATCTAAACCTGTTGTTGGATGAGAAGACAGTAGATGGTATACAGTGGTTGTAACGGTCTGTACGAGGTCTGTGACGGGCATTTCCTCCTCTGGGTTAGAGAGTCGCGGTCTTTTCCTTGCTCGATCGCTCTCAGGAGTGTTACCATCCTCGAAAATCGGCCGGCTTGGAGATTTCGGGATGGACAGAGTCATTGGATTACCGCTTTGAGTCCTGGAGTGTGGAAGAGCCGGTAATTTCACATCAGCCACATCTTTCGGGACGCCGTATTCCCTATTCAGGATCCTAATAATGACCATCTACAAAAATTCCCTTAGCAGCTACAGAAGACATAAACATGTGAACACAAGGTAACTCTCACCTGAAATGACTGATGCAATTTCCGAAACCCTGCGTCATCCTGCCTGCGATCAAACAGGGGCTCAGAGAAGTGATCCTCAATGAAACGGCCAACTTCAGGAGAACTAAGAGAAAGCCGTATAGCATCACTAAGCAGCTGGCTTAGTGCTTGTTGGACATCCATATTTTGATAAAGTTTCGTGGAGTTCAGCAAATCGATTCCACACTGTAACCATATTTGCCTCGCCTGTTGGTCTAGACATAACCCTTGTGACACTTTCAACGAGTGCGAGTATAACTTGCGCGATAGCGTGACAAAGTCAAGAAGGCTCCCCAACTGTTCTTCTACTTGTGTGGTCGTTGAGACTTCCAGCCATTCGAGCATAACGGCCCATAGCTTCTGTTGACAGTAAAGCACCCAAGTAAGAACCCGGCGAAGATTGGCTGTGCCAGATGCTGGCAGGGTAATTTGGAACGGAGGGCAGGCTACCGCCTCGAGCAGTTGAAGGCAAAGCTTAATGGTGTCTCCCGGGGTCCCTAACTTGACCCTTCTGGTAAACATCGAGCGTGGGAGAGACAACTTGTCCAGGCAAGTCGACAAGATGCTTGAGGGGCCGCGGAAATACAACGGGACGTTACACCCGACCTCTGAAGCACCAACGGCTTCCAGTGAATACAGAACATCTGCGTTACTTATGTCAACATCTGACCCTTAATATTATAAGATTTCTGAGGCAACTAACCACCAATACAAGCTTGGATCAGTGTATGCACTGACCGGGATGAATGCCATAGTTGGGGCCCTTTGAATTGGGAAACATAAATAGTTGATAGGAGGCTATAAATCTTGTCTTTTATAGAGCACTGGCCCCATACGAAGAGGAGAGAAAACAGCTCATGAATAAGCCAGGCAAACAGAGGCGCATGAATATCTTTCTTCCCAAGGATTTCAGGGTCGGATATTTCGTGCAGGACCTGGGGACATCTGCGCACTGCCAATCGTATAATATCAAGACAATCTAAGATCTGTCCCTCCAATTCTTCTCCCAAAACCCGAGACCTAAAAGACGGCTGTAGGCCAGCTTTTACCACGACGCATATCAAGTTGTGTACGTCGGTGATATTGTCTTCCAGATTAAATTGGCTCCCTTCATCTTGGCCCAAAATTTCCTGACGTAGCTGGGAGAAAGTTTCTCTGCTGATTGCATGTCTCTGATTTGGACTAGGAGACAGGTGAGGCGCAATATGGGCAGCCAAAATCGAAGAAGCTGGTTCCGCGGCCGCAGGGCCTTGAAGCCTTGTTGCCTTTTCTGACGCCATTTAGAATGCTGTGGTCCATCAGGAACGGAACGGTTGAGAAGCTGAGAATCCCCGCAGGGGGTTGCAGGAGCACATTCAAAACAGTATATGTAAAACACTACTTTGTGATTACATCTGAACATTTGAATGGCACAGCCTGCTGGTTCATTAGCCTCTTTTGCACCTAGATATCAGGCTCCTTGTTGATACTGGCCGAAATCGAACTTGGGCGGCTGTGTGTTTATGTAATACATCAGATAACTACCGTGTTGGGTGTGCCGCGTATCAAAGTTACAATTGGAACAATCAAGCAGACCACAGCAGATGAACTCCGGCGAAATACGAAAACGGAGCAGATGGAACAGAACAGCCCTGGCATACGGTTTGCCAGTGATGCCCAAAAACATGAATATTTTATGAAGAAAGCCCTTGATATGGTATGTACTCAGGGGTGCTGTTCTTCGGGGTCATCTCGCTAATTCAAATGAATACAAAGGGTGAAGAAGCCCTAGCAAGTGGTGAAACTCCAGTCGGCTGCGTACTCGTCCATAATGACGAAGTCATCGGGTCTGGTATGAACGACACGAATAAGTCGATGAACGTAAGGTTCAGAACAGTGTTTTTTAATTTTATTTCAGCTAGCGCAAGAGATGCAGGCTGATCTGATACTGATCTAGGGGACCAGACATGCAGAATTCCTAGCTATTGAAGAAGTGTTGAGGAAGTATCCACGAAGCATATTTCGTGAAACAGACCTCTACGTGACTGTTGAGCCATGTATAATGTGTGCATCTGCGTTAAGACAATACCAGATCAGGCATGTCTATTTTGGGTGCGCAAATGAACGTTTTGGAGGGACTGGAGGTGTCCTCAATTTACACTCCGAGTGAGTCCATGTCTACCTTCTACAACCGACAGGGATCCGTTGCTAAAACTATCGGCATTACTTTCGGTAGCCCAGGAATTGATCCACCATATGGCCTTACGGGAGGACTATTCCGGAAGGAAGCAATTATGTTATTACGCCGATTTTATATCCAAGAGAATGAAAGAGGTACGTAATAATCAACATTCAACTACATTTATTATATAATGGCAGATCTTTATTCTTTTTCTCGCTTCAAAAACTCATCATTCAACCTAGCGCCCAACCCAAAACCGAAAAAAGGTCGGGAACTAAAGAATGATTTTGGCGAAGATGCGAGCATGGGGATGGAATTCGCGGAGATTTTGCCCCTGACATAACGCATAACTCAGCTTCTTAAAATCATTTTGCGCCGCACATTCATTTTCTTTTCCTCTCCTGAAAAGGAACATCAAATTTATGGAACTTTCATCTACTATATATATACAATATTCACTTCAATCCCTATGGAGAAACGTTGAAAGAAGCAGGAGCAACAGGAAATTAGTTTGACAGAGTACCCTTGGACAAATGACAGCTTAAAATAGAATATTATGACGAGGACGCTGCTTTTTGACGTTCTGCTTCTAGCTCTCGCTCAGCTTGTTGATAGTACTTCGCGGTGTCCACGCCGTGCTGTTAATCCGAAAATGTTAGTCAGGGTTCCAATAAAAGTAACAAAATCTCGTATGAGCCGGAGAAATTATACCTGGTCGTGATTCACAAAATTGAACCAAGGAATGACATGGATGAATAGAGAGGAATATCGCGAATTCCGAGCTGCAACCCCTTGCATATAAGGAGAGAGCGACGAGACTCCGTATAAAGGCTCCCCTTTCTTAACCTTGGCAACCATCTCACGCATGTCCATGTCGACCTCCCGTTTATTTTCCGTAAAGCCGTAGAAACGTTCTGCAGTGCGGGAAAAACAATGGATTGGTCAATTTGGAAACTCCCGAAAAGTTAACAAGGGTACCATTGAACAAAAGTCAACGTACTACATGATGTATTGTATACGGTGAGTAGGCCACCGAACATGCCAATTGCCGTTGCCAATCGCATAGCTTTGCCAAAGGTTCCCGGCCTAGCACCCGCCGGATGCATTCGTTCCATCATCCAAAAGAGAGCCGGTGATATTGCAGCAACGCCAGCCCCAACGGCATAATCGGACGGCCTTGCATATCCAAATACTCGTTTTACATGACTGCGATTAACGTTAGAAATAGAGCATATCGAGAATTGGTCTCGGAATTGGGACGAGCGTACGGATCCGTATCAATTACCTAGGAGACAAAAGTAACTCTGAGTTAGTAAATTACAGACAGAGAGTGGGAACAGGTGAAAAGGAAAACACATACGGGATAGTCAGTTTTCAGGACCCTTGGCGGGACAATTGGCCGGCCGTGATCGGTAGCCATGATGAAGATTGAGCCGGCTGGAAACAAAGCCCTCGCGCATATATTGGATAGCTAAGCTTTGATGTCTTTACTCACATTGGATCAATTGCGATGGGTTAGCCAGGCTAATTGTCACCTGATGATTCGCTCACGTGATAATTTAGTGTTGGCCCTAGGCTGCCTATCACGGACTAGCGCACCGCACATATATGCCTCAGCGGCCGACATGCTAATACAACCACTTAGACGTCCCACAGGTTATGACCCGGATTGCTTGTTTTTTTTTATAAATATATTAAGAACCTCCCACTGCCTATCTGAGGCATCTAACGTCTCGCGAGCTGCTACGCTGATCAGCAGAAGGGATCCTGACGAAGGCTAGAAGAGCTTTGATCGCGGGAAAAGATTAAAAATTGATTGATATAGGGGGAAGAAATCCTCCTAGAACTCGAGCTACCATGGGGATGGATACCCCAGCTAGCAATGATGAATACGAACCTACCACTGGGCCACCGGGCCCAACACCAACGACCGATACCTTGATACAGATGATGATGGAATATTTGAAAAAGCAACATGAATATCTGAAAAAGCAAAATGAATGTCTGAAGAGAATGAATGAATATTGGGACAGAAGGTTGGGAAAATCCTTACAAAAATCAGCTGAAAACTCTGATTCTCTGTCAAGAGATCAAGAGGATATGAAACAAGGGGAGGATGAGATGGAACTGGCTATACAAGTCACTGTCATTACTCCTCCATCTACTGAAGAATCTACCACAAGAATCGTTGATGAACCTTCTGTCGGAACCGCCTCTATCACTGTTAGAATCACCACCAGATATACCACGAAGATGATCATGATGAGATCCATCATTAAGAATACCACTGACACCACCACTACCTCTGTCACTAAACAACTTTTCAAACATCGATACTACTATCACGAACCGAAGCCTCACAGATGCCGAAAGGGTGAAGGATAGAAGGATAGATAGATTTGATTTCATTTGATTTGATTTGATTTGATTTCATGTATAATAGGATTTCTAGATAGATAGATATCTGTACGGCTGCTAGTCCGAGGGGAGGTGTTGGCCCTAGGCTGCCTATCACGGACTAGCGCACCGCAAATATATGCCTCAGCGGCCGACATGCTAATACAACCACTTAGACATCCCACAGTTAGGGGGTACTACGGCTACCCTATCACGTGCCCCCCAACATATTGTATTGCTCTCGCGTAGTTAGTTTAGTAATGACAACCAACGTTATCCTCCTACAGTTTCCTTTCCCTTTCCTTTGTTTTGATTATTCTGGTTCTTGGCTGCAGGGCAAGAGTTTCGCGGTTAAAGAATTGCGGATCATCCAACCGCACGCGTGGCTGTTCCAGGGCTCTCGCAGGGCTGTCGCAGGGAGCTGCGTTTGGTCCCATGGTTCTTCGTTGGCTGGTTGGCATGGGGCCCTTCAGTAATCCTATTAAACAAGTTCGGCGGGATTAATTATCGCGGGGGTGATCAGTCATTTTTTTTTCTCCGGTTTTTGTAGCAACTCCCGATCATCGGCGAAATGGAGGATATTATATATATAAAAATAGTAACGCTGTGATTTCCTGTTTTTTGGCGTTGCGTTTGGCAACCTGGGTTGGGTTTTTGAGTGTGAGGAACTTGTTGACCTCGGATGGGGGACAGTGTTTATTGGTGTTTTCTCGGGTCGTTCACAATCTACCGTCTGGCTCGCCTTTGAAGCGTCGCACGCGCTTTTGTTCCCAGTTATCAAGGTCTTTGGCCATGAGTTTCTATATATAGGGTGCACAAAATTCGATTAGCTATCTTTGTGCTTTGTAAGGCCAGCAAAGAAATAGAATAAAAGTGGGACTTTTCTTCGTTCGTAAAATAAGCAGAAAGAAGGAGGGGAAGAAAGCTTTCTCTTGCCCCCCGCTCCCCTCCAGGGGGGGGAAACAAAACAAGACAAAGTAAAACGGTAAAAACGAACATAGTATTCCTCTTTCTCACTCCCCAGCACTCTCCGCCGTGGATTCCGTTTGACCTGCGCATCATCGTCATCCGGACCCTTGAGCCCCAAACCCATCGCCTCTTCCTGGCTCAATTGCTGCACTTTACGATCGTGGCGCTCGTATCTCAATGCCGTAGCGGGGGTGAGGACAAAGGACCCAGCTACCATGATACCGATGAAGGGCAGGCCGAAGAGCAAGAACGGGTGTTTGCTGAGGTTTGCGCGGTATTTCGCTCCCAGTCGCTCGCCCAGGGTTGAGCCGGAGCCTGTCGAGGGACGAAAGCGCTTGGCTTGGAAAACGGGCATGCTGGGCAACGGGATAACGCGGACGAAATATGAGGATGGTGGATGAGGGATTGAGACCGGGGACTGTCGGTACGGGGTATCAGGATTGGGGTTTTCTATATAGATGGCTTTTAACTAGGAACAAAAATATTAGCTTGGTCCCGGGAAAAGTGTTGTTCCGGTGTATACATCCAAAAAGAGCAGCTTTTTTATTGATAGAACGACGACGACGACGACGACGACGACGAGCTTCTCTGTCTGGATAGCAGGTGCTTGAACTTGCAAATTGGTCAAGCTCGCCGGGGTATTCCAGCTTCTCTCGGACGCTCACTTCATATATAACCTATTCCCTTTCTTTCTTCCTTTGACAAAAAGAACTTCAACATCCAGCATCCCTAGCAACAAACATTCAGAGCACCTCTATACTACTACGTAGGGAACCCATCATGTTCCCAAACACCGGCCAGCAAAGCTCCGTCTTTGGAGGTGCAGCAACAAATCAACCTGCAAAGCGAAGTTTACTCGATCTCGGGGACTCACAATCGCAGCAACTACAACAGCAGCAACAACCGCAACGATCCAACCCATTTGGGTCCTTGCTACCTAGCGCCCCAGCAGTTACTAGCCAGCCAGCAACTACTCCCTCCTTCGGTCAAACCACCACACAAAACACTCTAGGCTCGTCGCTTTTGGGGAACCAGCCGGGAGCGCAAACCCAACCGCAGTCCCAGCCAGCAACACAGCCCATTGCTGCTTCTCAGTCCACTCAACCTGCGTACTTCAGTAGCTTGTTGGAGCGGGGTAAAAAACGTCCACACGCGTCTACTGGAGATGCAGCTTCTGCGGACCTTCCGAATCTTCAGCTTGGTTTGGATGATATTCGGAGAGCTGCGCGAGGTTTGGGGGCGCCTGGCGAGCGGCGAGGACTGGGAGGAAAATGGCCGGATAATAAAGCGTAATATTTTACCCTCATCTTTCGAATTAAGCAGTTTATATATATTACCATGCGATATTTGCTAATGCGTAGTCGTATTTTCCTCAGACACTACTCTCTTGCTGCTTCCGGTATCTCGCCTGGCCAAGTCTTGCAGGATTTGAAAATGCTGGGTAGCCAAACTACAGCGAGCAGCCCATTCAAGAGCACCGACACATTCGATCCCGACAATCAGAAGTTTCTACGGCAGGTTCAGCAACGTGGGCGGGAAGCGATGGTTGCTGAAAGTCTTGCCCGTGTCCGTAAGGACTTTGACGCTTTTCTCGAGGAGAAAGTGAATGTCAACTGGGACGAGCAGCGCAAAAAGATCTACGAGCATTTCGGCTTGATGTCCAGGGATGACTCTGCGCGGGGAACGTCTGATTCTTCATCCCGCGGCTCCTTTGGAAAATCAGCTGCACTGGGACGGTCCGCTGGGGGAACAGGTATGCCGCGGGGCGGCGATGCCATTGGCAGGCGCAGCATATTTGGTCGGTCGGCGTTGGGGAAATCCGTTATTGGGTCTCCTTCAGTCAACGGGCGTACTTCCCAGTATCTTTCTGATTCCGTAATGCGTAACGAGGATGGTGCGGGAGTTGCCTCTGCTGATTCTCGTTTCCTGAGAGAAAAACTTCGGCACTTTGCGACCAGCGTTCAGGAGTTGAATGAGGCGAGACTCCAAGAAAGGAGTTTCCCGATTCTACATCGATTTGCAGAAACCGAGCGTGTCGCCGGTGGGGATGTACGTGAATTATTATCCCTTTTTATTTTAACCCAAAAGAATAATTCTATTTGTTATTGCTAACAACCGGCTTTTAGGTTCCACGGCAATTATTAGAAGCTTACCATGCCCTGATCAGCATGGTAAATGAAAGCCCGAACTCCGCTAGTCTTTCAGAATCTGGTGTGCTCAAGGAACGACAATTCGCGGGCGACTACCTAGATGATTCTTTACATTCCGTTGGAGCAACAAGGATGAGAAAGAGAATTATCGAAGGGTCGCGAAAATTTTTGGAACAATTATTTCAAAAGGAAGTCGAAAATATTATCACAAAGAACCCGCGGGAAGCCCAGCTTGGTGGGGTCCCTTCGATAACCAACAAGATTCGCGCTTACATTCGCCTTCGCGCTGCACGAAAGGACCTTGCCCCTGATGGCACGGAACTCCAGATGGTCGGCCAGGATTACTGCTGGATCCTCATTTTCTATCTCCTCAGATGTGGTTTCGTCAAGGAAGCAGCGGAATATGTGAGCCAGGATCCAGGGTTCCGGTCACTTGACCACAAATTTGTTACCTACATGACAACCTATGCGCAGAACAGGCGTCTTCCCAGAGACCTGCAGCAGAAGATCAATGGAGAGTATCAGCAGCGTTTGCGCAATGCTCCGGAAAATACTGTCGATCCATATCGCATGGCATGCTATAAAATCATTGGCCGCTGTGACCTCAGCCAACGTCGGTTTGATGGCATCGGGCAGGGCGTTGAGGATTGGATGTGGTTACAGTTCGTTTTCGCTCGGGAAGATAGCCGAACTGAGGAAGTGGCTGGGGAGCTGTTTGGACTGGAGGAAATTCAGAGTGATATCAGTGAAATCGGACTGCGAGTATTTGGAAAGGGCCAAGATGGCCCCGGCGGCTATGGAACTTTCTTCCTTCTCCAGATCCTCGGAGGCATGTTCGAGCAGGCCGTATCGTGTCTTGCGTATCATGAACCGATCAGTGCTGTACATTTCGCAATTGCTCTGGATTTCTATGGCCTGCTCCGAGTTTCTGACTTTTTTGCGTCAGGGGAGGATTTATGTAAGTATTTGCCAAATGAATTGTGACCCCGATCAATGGCCGCAGATTTTGCTAATCAAATATTGCGAAACAGTGACGTTTAGCACTAAGCAACTTCCTCAAATCAACTTCGCATCACTCATTACGCAGTATACTCGAGAATTCCGCACTGGTTATGTTGAAGCCGCAGTCAACTATTTCACTCTTATATGCCTGAACGCGGATCTTCCAGGAGAGCTTGGCAAATCCCAGGCTTCTGTCTGTCACGAGGCTTTGAGAGAATTCATTTTGGAAACTCGCGATTTTGCGCTCCTTCTAGGAGATATTCGCAGCGACGGCACCAGAATCAAGGGCGCGATCGAACGGCGACTGAAGCTCATCAAACTTATCGACCAAGAAGAATTCTTAAAGACGATCACTGTTCAAGCAGCAGCCGTGGCCGATGATAAGGGACTCATTACCGACGCCGTTTTGCTATACCACCTGGCGGAAGAATACGACAATGTTATCTCTGTAATCAACCGCGCACTTGCGGATGCCATTGCTGTAGATTTGGGCGATTCGGCAATGAAGCTGCAGCCCCTAAAACCGCGAACCACGCCGAGCAGCCAGGAACAACCACAGCAGCCTCAACAAGCAAGCAGCACCCTTCCTGAACAGGGAAGCAGCCTAAGTCTCACGGCGGTTGATGACCCGGTTGTGCTCGCTAAAAATATGATTGGGCTCTATAATACTAACGCGCTCTATTACCAGAAAATACACCAGATCAACAGGGATGCATGTGGCCTATTGCTACGCACAATGGAAGCAAAGGCGAATGTTGCAGCCGGGAAATGGGCGCAGGCGCTAGATGTAAGCATATCTGTACTTCTTTCCCCTCTTCCACGGTGTGCCTTGGTATATATTTCAGTCTCTATAACAGAGTGTGCCCTGACATTTTTTGCTTTTAATAGGATATCAACAATCTCCAGATCCTCCCATTGCGAGCCCAGGGCTCTGTCACGTACATCCGCAGTGCCGCGCAGGCATTCCCATCCCTTCCCCCGGTCATCTCCAGGAACGCCGGCCAGCTGATTATGTGGAGTATGATGTGCATCGGTCGCGAACGGGAAAGACTTCAACAAGGGGCATACGCGAATGGCATGAGACAGAGCTTGGCGGATGAGCTTCTCGTGATGGCGAAAGACTTGATGGTTTTCGCGGGTATGATCAAGTACAAGTTACCACCGCGGGTTTATGAGATGTTGGCTAAAGCGGGCGGGGAGATTGGGCTGTAATGATATACTCCTTTTGTTAGGACTTGTTTGATGTGCTGGATAGCGCTTGTCGGATGCTTTTACTTTTATATTTATATCTTATTGTCATCTCTGCTTTCTTCCTTCTTGTGGATGTGGATGTGATATATTTGTGTATGTTGCGTCGTGCCTATTCGAGGTAAGTTGGAGCCTGGGTTCGGAGATGGATATACCCATTCAAACACACCAACCGGGGTGCATGCAATAGAGGAATGAAGAATCATCGGCGTGGCGCGTTGTTTAGTTCTTTCCGCCACACATCCGCAGTAGTCAGCCAGTCACTTGCAAAGCACGCAGCTCCCCAGCATCCGTCGGCAGATCAGATCAGCCTGACTGCATTCATTCTGCACGTATGTCGCCTAGCACTGATTTGTTTTGTCTACAGCCCACTCGGGGGATAGCATGCAAATGAGGGCAAAGGCAATATATAGGCCCATAATTTCACATCTACCCATTCAGGGAAATATATCCTTTTCCATTTTCCACCGGCCCTATTTTAACTACTTCATTATTTTCTTTTTCTCTCAGCCTTTTGCTCTCGCACTCTTGGCGTTGGTGCCAAATCCCCACAACTTTCTTCTCCGTCCCAAGCTCAATTGAACCTCGAATGCTCCCATTCTCCAGCATCGGCCAGCAATTGCTTGCTAATCACCCCATTTCTCTCTGCTCCAGGCGGCGATTCCTACCGTCACCAAGATAGTATTTACACTGGTGTTTTTTTTAAATTTTTCCTATTCCCTACTCAAGCTACCCTCACCTTTCCATTCTGGCGTCTCCAATACTTAAGCTCCCAACAAGTCAACCACGGAAACAAGCCCGTGGGCGCCCGAAGCTTCCAGTCCCTTCGTCCCAGAAAAACACTGGAAGCTTTCAATTACATTCCATCCACACGGCCCTGAGCGGTAGTCATGGACGACGGGGGCGCTAGTACAGCATCTGGCTCCCCTCAGTCGCGGCTGTCGAACCCGCCAGAGCAGAACGACACCACGATTCAATCAAATGTTGAGAACTCTCCGAAAACGGCGCCGATAGATGAAGACGTGGACATGGACGATGCCGAAGACGATGACTCCCGACTGCAGAACGATATCAAAGCGCAGGTCGAGGCTGAACCGGAACGCCGGCCCTCCCCTTCACAGTCCGCTGAGCCTACGTCCCACCCACAACCGGCAAATAATACCAATACCGACTTTACAACGCCCGCCGAACAACAGAACGCCGAGCAGGTGATACCTCCTGCTCCAGCGGGCCCGGCTTATTATAGCCTCTTCAGCAATCCGCCCAACCTCGGGTGGATTCGGCAGGTTCTGTTTGAGCTGAAGGATTCCGTGGAAATGAGCGTGGAGGAGTTTCGTACGTACTGGCCGTTTATAGATAACGTCTGGGTGAAGCAGAGATCCAATTCGACCAAGGACGGTCTTACGACTACCGATTACTACATGTGTCGACTCCGGAGGGCGACGTGCAGACCGAACCCGTCAAGGCCGCTGCCGGAGGGGAAGAGAGCGAGGAAGAAGGCGATTAGGGAAGGGAACCAGTGCAATGTACAGATTAAGGTGGTGAAGTTTGAGGGAGCTTACTCCGCCGTTACGATCACGAGGACCCCTGGGAGCAGTCGGACACATTCGCATGATTTGGACCACATTGACAAGGTGAAGCGGAATTCGGGCCTTATAGAGTATTGCAGGAAGGAAGCTGAGAAAGGCTACCTGCCTTCCTCTATATATGCGAAGTTTCGTGAGGAGCCGGATAAGCTGCTGGTGGCGGGTGGGAAATTTTTCAGCGTCACCGATGTCCGCAATGTCTCGGCTAAGTGGCGCGCTTTACATCCCGATGTCAAATTGAGGGAACATGAGGGTTATCATTACCAGCAGGGTCATGGTATCATGCGCATTCAAGGTCCCGTGTTAGAGCCTCGTAATGGAGCTGTGCCGCCGCCGCCGCCGCCGCCGCCACCACCGCTCGAGTCCCAAAACGCTCGTTGCGAGATTCCTCCGGATGCGCTACCGTTTCCTAGCTATTCTTTGGACTTTCTGCAGCCATATCTCCCTAGATATGAGGAGAATCGACAGTTCCCCTTCGTCACCCTAACATATGCATCCTCCATGGATTCGAAAGTTTCCCTTTTCCCCGGCGTACAAACAGCCTTATCCGGCCCTGAAACGAAATTGATGACACACTATCTTCGCTCCCGGCATGATGCCATTTTAATCGGGGTCGGAGCTGCCATGGTGGATAACCCCGGCCTCAATTGTCGGCTGACAGGCTCAGGCGGCTTCGGAGGATTAGGCAAAATGTGGCAGCCCAGACCAATTATCGTGGACCCAACTGGAAGATGGCCTGCAGACCCGGAATGCAGGCTTTTAAAAACCGCCAAGGAAGGGAAGGGCAAGGCACCATGGGTTGTCGTCTCACCCGGAGCAAACATCCAGCCAGCTAAAGTGCTGGCGCTCAAGAATCACGGAGGCGATTACCTCCGCATTGTGGAATATAACCAGAGCTGGAGGCTTAGATGGGAAGCTATTCTACGGGCTCTAGGAACCGAGGGAATCACCAGCGTCATGATAGAAGGCGGCGCCACTGTAATTAGTGAGCTACTAAATCCTGAATACGTTGACTTCGTCGATTCTCTTATCATTACTGTTGCTCCTACGTTTCTAGGCCAGGGTGGTGTTGGGGTCAGCCCGGACGCGAAAAAGGATAACACAGGCAAACCGATCAGTGCTCTTAATCCCCGTGATATCAAATGGCAGCCGCTGGGTCAGGATGTTGTAATGTGTGGCAAGATACGCGTTCCTCCTGCTCCACAACCCATTCTCTCCGGCATTGAAACTGTCGCTCAACAAGGTGGCGAAGGACATGACGCGGAAGAGAACGTACAGAATGATGCTGACCCAGCTGCTCAAGGAAGCAAAGAGGAAAACGCCGAGAATTCTCAAGAAAACTCGTGACTTCGGTTCGGGGATTCACCATGATTTCTAAAATATCGCCAGAATGTTTGGAGGGCTGTATATATGTTATGTATGTCTCCGTCAGCTATGTCCTATCCACTTTTATCTCAAAAGTACACAGTACCAGGCGGAATTTCCACTTACCTTGCAAGTCCACCCGGAACGTTGCACACTTCGCTCGAGACGAAAAAAGAGCATCGATTTTGCCTCTCGCACTCCTCGACCAGCTTGTCCAGATCGAATAACTCTCCGGTAGGACATCCCCAGCCGGCCAGGAGCACTTCATGCGTATTCCAACCTTGCGGTGCAGCTGATCAGATTCAATGATTCGTTAGATTAGTAACAATTGGCTGTTACATTAACACGTCCCCCGGTGGAGGTTTTGGGGATTACTAAGTGGGAAAGGGGGATGGATAGAGGGGACCCGCGATACGCTTCAAACGCCGGGTGATCGCCCGCCACTGCGGAAAAAGTTTCCCATATCCATTCAGGCATCTCTTCACTGCGTTCTATGCCGATTAAATTGGGTGGGTTTTGTTTGGCCCTTTTATTTCCAGCTCATCCATTGATAACATGTTAAACGCCTTCATGTACCCTAGTCATTTTTGACTTTAGTTCAGCGCAATGACTAGATATAAAGGACGGGGAAAAAAGGAGGGAGAAAGGAAGAGGCAAGGGCCCATCCTACCAACTTGAATGATAAGTATGTCTCCACGCTTTATCTCTGTGCCCTGCGACTCAGCCACACGGCCTTGAGACGTTTCAACGGAATCGAAGTTCTCCTCGAAAATGTCAGCGTGTATATGGTTTTCGGATACCCACTTGTGGAAATCCAACAGGATTCCACGGCCTACGGTTCTTTCCTTTCTCTGCCCGGGCTTTAAGATACGGCAAAAAGAAGGAGGGGGGGGGGGGGGGGGGGGGGGGGGGGAAGAAAAAAAAGAAAAAAAGGCCCCCGTTTTTGGGTAAATCCCAAAAAGGGGCCCCGTTATAGAAATTCTTTTCTTTCCAGCAGTCGAAGTGACGGGGTCCGTCCCCTACTCAAGAAGATGGAATGGACGAGCCCCCATTAGCTATATTTTCATTTTATCTGGACCCTCTGGCTGCATAGTGGATGCCCGCCGGGCAGTAGGGAGAGAGGGAAGGGAGAAGGGCAAAGGAAGGTGGAAGGACGAAAGCAGGAAATTGGCACTGGCTGCTGCTTTGCGTGTTAAACGTCCAGACATCATCGTCCACCGTCCGAAGCGATTTTTTTCAACAAGTTGTTTGTGAAACACCTGCCAGTTGAAGAAGGGCACTTTGCTTTGGGCGTCCAGTGGCCAGTTTGGGGAGAGATACTCTGCGATTTTCAAAAGTTAGCTCTCTATAAATTTCGCGGCCGGGAAACAGCGGCAACGGGAGTTACAGGATGAAAGAACGTGAAGTCAATATTTTATTCTTTGTACAGTACTTCCTTCTTTAGCTATCCAAGGAATGCGGATCACAAACAAAAAAGAATTACCTAACTACTAGTACACAATGACCATGTTGGAATTTCTATCAAGTTGTTCTCATCTATCTCCCGTCTCTATCTCCTTCGCAGCCTCCGCCACAATGGCATCTGTCTGGCGGTTCAGGAAGCCCAACTGGTCATCCTTCCCATACAGTCCCCATGCAGAGAATATAGGATCTGCCTTTGAACAGAGAATTTGGGCAAGGTTAGCTGGGCCTCCTATCATTGTGGATGTATTTCCTTTTATAGACATTGCGCGCTTCAATGCTGATATATTGACGGCGTATTTGTATACGTTTACAATGGTAACGCTTTGGGCTTTTCATTCAGCTCTTCACACATACTTGTTGCGCTCCGCATATTAGGTATGGAGAATGGAGTTTGTATCGTCGTTCTGGCCGAAGCGCCAACCATGGATACATCGTAACACTCGCGGGATAGCTCTCAGGGAATGAGTAACCACCGCTGTAATTTCTACGGGCGGATGGATGTGTTCCTTAAGTTGTTTCTTTCTTATTAGCCATTGGGGTGTCTATATTGCAATGACCCTGTAGTTAATTGAGCATATATAGTTGATAGCGGCGGGGAATGGAATAAGGAAGTGGAGTAAGGGTTATTTGAGAGCGAACAGTCAACTGAAGTGCATTCACCAACCTATTGTCGGCATAGCTACATCTTTGTTTTTTTCAATTGATTCTTTTGATTGAAAGGTATGTGTTGCAAGAGTGATGACATAATCCTGCGTTTGGCCAAAAAAAAAAAAAAAAAAAAAAAAAACCAACAACAAAACCATAGGCAAAGAAAGGAGCAAACAAAGGGAATCCAACACGTCTTGAAACATCTCAAAGCACCCCGACTCTACATATTCCCCCTCGAGGGTTCTTAATTGAGTCATCTTGACTTCTCCCACTACCATTCTCTCGTTTCTTCCCTCGCTCATTACCGTTTAATAGTAATCCGCGTGCTATGGCTCCCAGAAAAGCCGCATCCAGCGCGATAGCTGCTCGCTCACAGACAGCCACCAAGTCCAAAGTGACAAAAAAGACAGCCCAAGAACCCACGAAGAAGGCATCCACCAATGCTACAGCTCCAAAAGCGAAACCTGGGCCCAAACCTGGCTCAAAAAGGACAAAATCAGTTGAAAAAAATGAGCAAGTCAAGGTGAACGGAGTCTCGCACGCTACAGACAGCGACAACGAGGAGGTTGATAAAGTCGACGTGTCTAAGAAGCGCAAAGCGGTTGCCGATGAGGTTGCGACGCGCGAGCCTAAGAAAGCCCGAGTCGTCAAAGCTCCCGTCGTCAAGCCCAAGGTCGTCATCAATCACCCCCCTACGCAGCGATTGAACGTCTATGTCTGCGGCGAAGGAAGCTCCGGAGAACTTGGTCTTGGTGCCGCCAAGAACGTTGTTGACGTGAAGCGTCCTCGTCTCAACCCGCTCCTCCCTGCGGACAAGGTTGGCGTGGTCCACATTGCCACCGGCGGCATGCACTGTGTTGCACTCACGCATGATAATAAGCTATTGACTTGGGGCGTCAATGACCAGGGAGCGTTGGGTCGCGACACTACTTGGGATGGAGGCTACAAGGACATTAAAGAAGGTGATGAGGACGACTCAGACTCGGATTCCGACAGCGATAGTGGCCTGAACCCCCTCGAATCGACTCCTGCGGCCGTTCCGTCCGAGTATTTCCCCGAAGATACTGTTTTTGTCCAGGTTGCTGCAAGTGACAGTGCTAGTTTCGCTCTGACCGATGTTGGATCTGTCTATGGCTGGGGTACATTTAGAGTGAGTTAAGACGGAATTTCGTCCTATCTACCTTATTGGCTATGTTAAATTTCATTTTCTGAAAATCAATTGACTTACAACATGCTGCTCAGAGCAACGACGGCATCCTGGGTTTTGACGGAGAATCTACAGTCCAAAGAACTCCCGTCCTCTTACCCACCCTCAAGAAGATCAAATCCATTACCTGCGGTGCCAACCACGTGCTCGCTCTCAACGACAAAGGCTCGGTCTTCGCATGGGGTTCCGGCCAACAGAACCAGCTTGGCCGCCGTATCATCGAGCGCACCAAAATTAACGGCCTACAGCCCCGGGAATTCGGTCTGCCCAAAAATATGGTGGGCTTAGGATGCGGCTCTTACCACTCCTTCGCCATCCACAAGTCCGGCAAGGTCTACGCGTGGGGTCTCAACAGCTTTGGCGAGACAGGCATCAGGATGGGCGCGGGTGACAGCGAAGCGGCCATCCTTCACCCGCTCGTCGTCGAGTCCCTGAAAGACAAAGACATAATTCAAATCTGCGGTGGCGCGCACCACTCCCTCGCCCTCACAGCCAAGGGCGAATGTCTAGCCTTTGGGCGTCTTGATGGCTTCCAGACCGGTCTGAAAATCGATTCTTTACCGGAATCATCTATTATTCGTGATGATAGGAATGCACCCCGCATTCTCATTACGCCCACTGCTATTCCCGGTATTGACGCTTGCCATATCGGCAGTGGAAGTGAACATTCCATCGCTATCGATAAGGATGGGCGTGCATGGTCGTGGGGCTTCTCTGCCAACTATCAAACCGGCCAGGGGACTGATGAGGATATCGAAGTCGCGTCCATCGTGGAGAACACTGCTGTGCGCGGGAAGCGTTTGAATTGGGCGGATGCTGGTGGGCAGTATTCAGTCTTCACTGAGATCGCTGCCACGACGACAAATACTTGAATTGACGTTTAAAGATGTTTTTTTTAGAATTTCTCGTTTCCGAGCTTGCTGTTTGTTTTAATATTTTGTCTTGTTTTATCTTGATATTTGATTTGATTTAGTTGATTTTGTCAAGGGCTCTTTTCATTTGAATTCGGGGTTTTCTTTTCTTTTTCTTTTCTTTTTATTTTAACCTTTCTTCTACTTGGTTTTGGTTAATTGCATCGTGGGATAGTACTGGTAGATTGATTGGGCTCTTTTTATTTATTGACTTTTTTTTTTTTTTTTTGCTTCAATCTGTTGGTTTATCATTTTCCATTTAAAGCTTCCTTTTCACTTTTCTCCGCAGAACTTTTTCCAGAAATTTCACATCTAGGGCCTTATTTTCTGCTTTCAATATCAGCGATTCATTGTATTTTCCATCTTTTCACTCAAACACTGCATTTACATAAATTCTATCATACATTTGCTCATTCTCTTTGTTCCACGTTTTTGACCTTGATTGAAGAGGGGAAAAGTAAAAAGTAAATAGGAACAAAAGCTCGCCAGAGCTACCATCATGCATGTCTTTCTTTCATGTGGGGTTAATCGGTTTCCCTAAACTAACAGAATTTACAGAGTATTAAAAACCATAATCATCCATCGCATCCAAATCATCAAAGCCGCCTACTTGCGGTAGTCCTGAACTTGGGCCTGCACCCTTCGGTATGGTGGTAGTGGAGTTAGGCGTTGGTTCCCGTTCTGATGGCATCCCACCACCCTCATGCTCAGCTAAGAGAGCATCTAACTCGTCATCTTCGGGTGCGTTTTCGTCATGTCCTGGTAGCACATTCATGCTCGCACGGGCATTATCGTTGCGATCGTCCCTGACGAAAAATTCATCGTCACTATCAGCATTGTTGTCAAAGTTGTGTTCTGCCATCTTCCCGCCTCCTCCCCCGCCACCGAAAATGGACGGTATTTGATTTTCTGTGGAAACATCAGTGGTATCGAGGTTTTCTCGGGTGGGCGATGTTCTTGCTTCGCGCTGGGTGGTATTTGTGGTCGCAACGGGAAATAATTCAGCTGCTTCGTTTTGATCACGCTCATCACGAGTGACTGCATCGTTCGCAGCCGGAAGCTGGGTTGTGTCATTGCTTGCTTCCTCATCTCTACCAACAACATCTGGTCTTAGTTTGCCTTCGTTAATCCACTCCTTTCGCATGATTTGGACGCGCTTCGAGTGGCCCAACTTTTCAATTATAGCTAGGCCGTCTGCGAATTTTGCGCGGGGGTAGAGGTCATCCAGCCAGAGTTGGTAAAAGTTGAGAAGACGCATGGCGTCAGAGTACTAAGAAAATAATATGTACATTTATGAATCAGCCTGAGAAGAAGAACACATGCCAATCAAGCTCAAGGTGGCTGTGGATTATTTACCTCATGGCCCTTTCCCCTGAATTTGAGTTTTTTTGCATCCCTTCGGAGCTTTGGGATCCCGGCTGGTGATAGTAATCTGAAGGCCGCGTTTAGTCAAAAACGCCAGAAGCTCTTGCATACATGCTTCTTACCGAGCCTCGTCTAATTTCGGAACCGGTCTTCTCTTGGGCGCTACCTTGATTTCCTCATCCAGACCCAGACTCGCACTGTTGGAGTCCGCTGGTGCATTATTGCTTCCTGATGTTGGATTTGATGAGTTATTGTGTTGGTTCACCTCCGTGTCTCCGAGGATTTCATCAAGCCCGGCATTGTAATCGAATAGGTCGTCGATTGTAGGTGGAGGATGGTTTGGAATTGTGTTGGCGTTCTGCCCTCGAGCTTCCATGGCTACTTATACCACGTTTGTTTTTCACTGAAGAGGAAGGATAGTAAATAATGGGTTACATAGGTATTTCAACTTTAGAATGGGAGTTGTGAGACTCAGATTGGAGATCTGTCAATAGCATTTTCTCCGTTGCCAACGCGATTTAATGACGCGACGCTTGGCGACGCAAAAGCATGTGACTACCTAGGTACGCTGGTATCTCCTCGTCTGGGGGCGAGGCACAATTAGCGCAAATTTTTAGTGTGTACCTTAGTGTATTAAATACATAAAAACTACTGAATGATATGAGAGATCTACTGTATTTATATGTTTTAGTGTACTTTATGTAATCTATTTGATCTAATTCTAATTAATCATTGGAATGAAACTCCTGCCAACACTGACTTTTCAAACAGAGAAAAATATTGTTATATGCAGCACAATCATATCTTAATTTTGAAGCTTTATCTTTATTCTGCTCTGTTCTTTTTTTTTTATACTAACATCAGACACAAACTTAAGATCTTGACAGAGAAATTTAATGATGATTTAAATCATCATTTGATTGAGTAGTAGATTATTATTATTATTCTTCCATTATAGATGTATGCAGTCAGTAACTATGACATCTACCTGAAATACTCTAGGATTTTTCAACTTAAGAATAAGCTAATATACAAAGTCAATTTAATACATGCAATAGCAGAATTCCAGCTTAGAATCAAACAACTATTCAAATTATTCAATTTAAGAAAGAATGTCAAAAGAATGACAACAGATCAATACATTCAATTTAAATCAAATGAAATAAAGAGTATAAAAAACAGCAGCTATTAAAAGAAAAGAAAGCATTCACAAATCAAACTTTTCAAAATAAATCAAAATCAAAAATAATCAAAATAAAATAAATTTCAAAGCAAAAGTAACAAAATAAAAATAAAAACAAGAATAAAAATTAAAGCAAATACATAGAAACAAAAGAAAAAAGAAAAACAAAAATTGAATTCATTATCAGATCAAACTATTCAATTGAAATCTTGTAGCAATATTTGATTCTTTTAAATATTCAATCAAAAATTCATTTCCAGTTTTTGTATTGAATAAAAGTTTTAAATTTAACTGTGTCAATTCAAACTTCTCTCTCAATCTCAATCTTAACTCTTTATGCTTTGTACAAAGTAAAAGAAGATGCTCTGAGTTTTCATATAATTGACAATCTGAATATAAATCACTTAAATCATTTCTAATCTTTGTTAAATATAATTTAAAATAACCATGTCCAAGCTTTAGCTGCATTATTGTAGTAAAAAGTTTCTTTTTACATTTTATTGAGCAAGCTTTCCATTTTGGCTTAGTTTCAAACCTGGAATAATGTACACTTTTTTTTGTAAATACCAGATATCTTGCCATTTTTGCAAACATGATTCTCTTATTTTTCTCTTAATATAAGCCCATGTTATAATTTTTTGAAAGCAGACTTCCAATTCAGTTGCTTTTTTTGCAGCTTTATCAGCCATTTCATTGCCATATATACCTATGTGAGCAGGCACCTAGTGAAGATGAATAGAACAATTGAGTGAGATTTTTCTTTAAATATTTTAAAGACTTTTCAAAATCAGCTCTAGCATTCACTGTCTACTGCTGATTTTATTACTTTGAAATCTTTTAAGCCCAGCTTGACTATCAGAGAATATCTAAATATGCTCAAATCTTTTCCATTGTTCAATCTTCATCTCAACCAATTTAAAAGCTCTTGAAATTGCAAATAATTCAGCATTAAAAACTTCTGACTCTTTTCTAATTTGCCAAGAATCAAGAATATAGGTTTTATCATTTTCTGAATATGCTATTCCAGCTCCAAAATTGCCTGTTTTCTCACATTTTGAGCTATCAGTGTATATAAGAATTGCTTTGTTTCTCATTTGTTTTAGAAGATTTAGATGTTGTTCAGTCTGAACTTCTTTTGAAAGTTGACTAATATTTAAATCAATAAGACTGACAAGATCTTTCTTCCAAGGAGAGAGATTTTCAAAGACCACTTTCTCCACATTTAAACTAGAGAAACTGTTTTTAATCATGGAGCAAATTCTAAATAACTGAGATGGTATCTTCTTTCTTTGCACAGATGTTGAATTATTAGATGAATTTATTTCATTCCAATCAAAATATGACTCCTAATTCAGATCTACTCCACTTGATTCACTTGGAAAACAAGTTGAAACTCTTTTTCTAATTGAATGATTGGGATATAACTTCATAATTCTGAGAGCATAATTCATACAGATTTTATCAAATCTCACTTATAGTGGTGGTAGAGAGGCTTCAATCTCCATGGCTTTAATTGAAGAGGTTTTAAATACCCCCAATATTTCTCTTAAAGCTAAATTTCAAAGCTTTTGAAACCTCTCTACAAAACTCTTTTGATTTTTCCACCATATTTGAACTGCAAAGTTTGAAACAAAGGTTATACAAGCAATATATAATTGTGTCATTGCTTGAAAAGACAAGCCTCTCTCAGTATTTGAAAGTCTTAAAATACTGTTTAAGATTCTTTCAGCACTTGCAACTTTGATCTGAACATGAGATTTAAAATTTAACTGAGAATCTAACCAGACACCAAGCTATCTAACTGAACTACGTGGCTATTCCACGCAGGATGCACCTTAAGCTAGTTACATATTATAACCCCTATCATTCCGGATCTAGCCCTCAAAGGGGGCTTTGCCCCACAATTGCTCACGCAATACTAAGCAGTCTCTTGTCACTTGGACTAGACATGTAAGAATCACAACACTTTAAGATCCCACACTATACTAGTAGAATCCATCTAGACTATATACATAGTGTTGAACATTGCTCCACCCTGCAGTGGCAGTTACCAATAGAAATGAGATAAGAAAGGGTACCCCCAATATCCATCAAGATGTGATAATATCCTTTTTGAAGAGGGTGGGATTCGAACCCACTACCTTCTTGTCTCAGCAGAGGTGGCCCCAACACCAAGTGCCTACTTGAGAAAGCATTCCATGAACAGCGCTTACCACTACGCCATCCACCCCCCCGGTAGTAGAGGGGACGAACCAATCCAACCCCCCAACAGTATCAGCATGTAGCTGAGGCATATATGTGCGGTACACTAGTCCGCTATAGAAAGCCTAGAGCCAACAAATGATCACAGAAGTCGCGTGGGTGTGCACTTGATCGTGGTGCCAAATTCGGCCGGAAAAACAGCTCCGCGTAGTTCCAACACCCTCTGTAATATTGATTTTTCATGTATCTCAAGGCTCTAACCCTTTGTAACTCTGATAGTCCTTTAACCATCTAATCTACACCTCTACGCTAAGTGTTGAGAATGGTTCCATAAAAGTGGGTCAAAAGTTGGCACTTCAACTGTCACGCGAAGTCGCGTCACTCCGCCTCCAGGCTTTTGATTTCCGGGTGATACAGGCTGCAAAGATTAGAAACTGTTTGTATTTTGAATAGATGAGTGTTAGGCTGGGCGAAAATATTTTCCTTGTACTTCGGACCAATATTTTTTAGGCGGTTCCAGTTAGCGTACATTAATCCTAAACGGGAATAGCCGACCTTCCGCAAAATACAATTTCAATCCCCTATCCCCTATTTTGTTCGCGCTTTACGGAGTATTCCGTTGCGAAATACATAATGACGCTGTAGGATTCATCTTCGCCTGGTTCCTTGCTCGGCGGTTCTATCTGTTCCCATATTCGTGTTGTGCATCAAAGCCAAGCAGGATCAACCCTTTGACCATAATCCTCCCTTTGATTATATATATCACCATCTTTTCCTACTGAGTTATATTCTCTCGCATAGATCATAACTTCCTAACAATTCTGCATTTTTTGTTCCCCTGTTTGCTTCCCATCACATAATATTAGCATACCAACCTAATTTTTTTCCCCTTACCAGCTCCTAGTTAATCTCAACTCAACAGTCTTTTATACCGTCAAAATGGCGGGACTTTCACAAGAAGATCGCATCATTATCAAGAACCATCCTCTAACCAACTTAGTTGACCGTTTACAAGACGCGCTTCAGGAAGCTGAAAGAATATATGAGTCGCGTCTAATTTTCTACAATGGCGCTGTTGATAGCCTTGACCAACTCTTTCAAAATGTGATTTCAAAACTTGTCTATACATTACAGGGAGAGGGTGCAGCCTACAGCCTTCCATCGCGGATAAATGATGGAAATATGGCATCTGATCTAGCACAATTATTCGAGCGCCTTCAAAAGGCAAAAGAAACATTCAGATACAACGACTACCAACCGCTGGTGCATCTGATCATTCAAAGGCCTTCCACTGAATCCCAGAATGCTGAACCCTGGAACTTCGATGTCTGGAAAGCTGTATTTACCCTCATTGACACCCTCCCTCAACGAACAACTCCTCCGGCGAGCGTCCCCCCATCCTTTGACAGCACCCCAGTCAAATCCACCTCGTCATCGCAGAAAGGCTCCGAGCAGACGCGTAAGTTGGTGAATCCAAGAATCTTTGAGGAGATATGTGGCTGCACATTTCGAGATGTTGAGGGCTTCTTTGACAAATACTTTGAGGAGAAGGATTGGAGTGACAAAACAGATACCATCTGTCGATGTGTGTTAGACCCAGACAGTGATGGTAATTGGGCCCAGTTTCCCGATCCTCCTTCACAGGACAATGTCCTCGCCTGGTGGTTTCGTCTTCAAGAAGACCTTCTCTCGGAATCACGCAGCACCTACTACACCACAGCGAGCAAAGCGGATCTTACTGGTTCGCAGGCGGAACGGCAAGTCGACCTTCTTTTGCGAGCTAGGGGTGGGAGCCCCTTGCAAAACAAACACGACTGGACAGACATCCTGGTGGTTGGCGAGCTCAAAAAACCTAAAGAGAAGATCAGGACCAAAGCCACACTGCTGCAGATCAGCTGCTCTGTACGCGAGGTCTTTGCTGCGCAGCCCACTCGGCGGTTCGTCCATGCATTCACCATCTGTGGGACCAAGATGGAGGCGTGGGTGTTCGACCGCGCGGGGCCCTATAGCTCGGTAATCATTGACGTCTACGCGGACTCGAGGCGGTTCTTTCAGGTGCTTGTGGGCTACACCATGATGAGCGACGAGGAGCTGGGACTGGACACCTTTATTGCTAGGGATGAAGGCGGCAACAAATCAATAACTGTCAAAGGACCTGGGAACTCAGAGGAAAAGGTGCTGCAGCTGGGTGAAATGCTTTCCTTTCAGCGTGCCATCGTGTGTCGCGGGACAACATGTTTTCTCGCAAACAATGGACAATTGGAGGGTGTAGCCAAATTCTCGTGGGTGTCGGACAAGCGGCGGCCGGAAGCGGAACTCCTCGAGCTAGCGGGTCAACGAAATGTCCAAGGGGTTGCCAGGATCATTGGCCATAGTACCATCACCAACATCGCCGACATGCGCCGCGACATGGCCTTCAACGACAGGCGCCACGACTTCAAAAGCGCAACCCCAAGCACAACCTCTTCATTTCATCAATCTCAGCCGCTGACCGAGCCCTGTCGCTTAGATATCTGTCGAAAATCGTCGTCCAGGAAGCGCAGATCACCGGATAAGGGGATGCAGACATTCAAACGATCACGTCCCATCAATCAAACATCGGGGGACACCCAGGATCTAGCTTTCTCCGTTCAGTCAGCGCACAAGCCAAGCCTCTTCGACAGAAATGGCGAGGAACTGTATGACAACCGTGTCCTCCGCTGTCTAGTGATATCGCCCGCTGGCCGGCCGATCTACAAGTACGAGTCACCCTTGGAGCTGCTCAAGGCACTTCGCGATGCAATAAAGGCGCATCGATCTCTTTACCTGGATGGAAACATCCTTCATCGGGATATTTCGGAGAACAACATAATAATCACTGATCCAAACAAGGCTGATGGCTACTCTGGTACGCTGATCGATCTGGATCTTGCCAAAGAAGTTGGAAGTGGGCGAAGCGGCGCGCGGCACCAGACTGGCACAATGGAGTTCATGGCAATTGAGGTGCTGCTTAATATCGACCATACCTATCGGCATGATCTTGAGTCATTTTTCTACGTGCTTATCTGGCAGTGCGCCCGTCATGGCTGGGGGAAGGATAATCATCCTAATGATAGTAAACTTCGTGCCTGGTATACTGGTAACTATGAGGACATTGCAAACGCCAAGCTTGGCCATATGAGCAAAGCTGAAAATATGGGATTTGGATTCATTTTGAGGGAGTTCCCTCCAAAGCTCCATGGTGTTGTACCGCTCTGCGGGGCCCTACGAGACATACTCTTTCCTTACAATGACAAAGGTCTCATTGTTGGCACTCCCCAAGACCCAATCCGCTTATACGATCCTATTATTAAGGCGTATGATGACACGATCGCCCAATTTGAACTCGGAAACCTCACTAGCGATAAATCTGTTTAATGTGCTCTCAAGAGTTAAAGTAACGTCTTGCCGATTTGCTAAGCTACACAGTTGATTCTTGATAATATTATTTTTCGTTTACTTGTTTCCTGGGTAGTTTATTAAGACCCATCGTAAGCGACCTGACCATCATCTAGCTACATGGAATATCGGGGTCCTGGGAGTGACTCCGATCCAGGGCACAACCCAACACCCCATCATTAAATATCGTGGATGATGTCCAATCGCGGGTATGGCACATGGCTCGTACTGGAGAAAGCGGGACGAGAAGGGTGAGACGGAGGAGGAAAATTGGGAAGATGGAAGGTGCGTGGGCGAAAAGGGAAGAGGAGCGACCTTATATAGATATTCCGGCACACGTCGATGATGTAACTCAGGGCGGCGAGGTCAGGGCGCGCCAAATCCGAAGGGGTGACGGCAGGGCCGTGTGGGCCAATGGGTGGCGTCCGCGACGGCAGGCCAGGCCCGTTCGGGGATGCCCAGAAGGCGAGGGCCGCATGCGGCCGCGTACTCACCGTCCGATATATAACTGAGTAAATTCATCTGTGTATATCAATTCTTCAAGTGTGTTTTTGAGGCCAAGATCACCAATGGTGGAATGACATGATTATTCATGAATACACACTCAATAAGATCAATTCTCCTGAAAAGAAAGAAGAAATGATGGAATTGATTTTTTTAAAAGCAGTTATAACTCATTCTCTACATTCTTAACCTTCTTGAAATCCAATCTCATCAAAGTTGTACACATTACAGATGTGAAATCGATACTGTTTGAATAAAATCTGAAGATGTTCAAATCATGTATTGATATAATCAATATCTTCAACTGCCATTCTTTTTAAATTCATGGGCTTCTGCTTTATCCTTTTATACTCAAATAAATATTCAATAAATCTATAAATTCATACAAGCCGCAATCGCTCGCTTGCGCTCGCTTATTCAGCTTGAAAACGCGCTGTTTAATCCCTCAGATGAATGTAATGAGATATTCAACAGCTTCATGTAACTTGTATAAATGAATTCCATGTAATCTACAGCTGTCAATAAAGAATAATCATATAAATCATGTTGTTTTCTGTACAGAGAATAGCCATCCTTTTCAACAATTGTAGCATTCTGAAAAGTTTTGAGAAAATGTTTCATACACCTGCCATTCTTGTGACAGAAGCTTACCATGTCAGTATTATATGAATCATAAATTATAAATTTACAGATCAATTTATTCAATCTGTTTATATTTTCAATAATGTTTAACAACTCTGCAAATATAATTTCATCAATCATTTCAAACTGCAAAAATCATTCAGAGTTCTTTAATCAAATTAATAAATATATATATAACAGTTTATATTTTTAATATTTAATTGTTCATACTCTGATCAACATCAATCTGAACAGCTATTCAGATTTGAGAATATTAAGAAAATGAAAAACTTTCATTATAAAAATATATAGAATCAAATCTGAGCAATTCATTGCAATCTGATAAGAGAGCAATTCTTAGATAATTTTTTTTCATTTAGAGTTAATCATAAATATAATAAAAAAAATTGAATGTCTATAATTAAAAACAATCACTATAAAATTCTAAAACAGTTTATATATAAAACATTCATTGTCTGTATAAGAAGTAAATAATATCATCTGTCTGTATAACATCACACAGATCATTATATTAATCAGTGTAATAAATGTAATAAAAGTATCTATATTAGAAAATAGCTATATGATGATAAAAGAGCACAGAACACGTCAGAATCAACCATGATGAATATAATGTAATGACAATATTATTTATATAATGTTCACTGATATCTGTAGATTTTAGAAGATCAGTGATTAACTTTGAATAATAGAGATTGCTATCTTCTTAATATTTTTTATACATACTTCACACTACTCTTGTAATTACTTTTATAGCTCATCTCTTACAATCAGCATGAATTTCTGATTAATGAACACAAATTCAATTCAACTGTTGTTCATCAATATTGATGTAGATATTAACTAAATACTGCTGAAACAGATATCTAACTCAGAAAAGAGAAGTATCAACATCATTTCATTGAAAAAGATGATATACATGCTATATATATAGAGTTAAATTATAGCTGCCATACTCATCTTCATTTTTAACAACATCATCAACATCATCATCAAAGCTGTTGCAGGCAGGTGGGAGGTCTGCAAACACATTCATAACAATATATCAATTATAATTTTCAGAAGGAAAAAGTAGAATGTAATGCAATGAAAAATATAATAAATTATAAAAGTTAATATATATGAGATTCAAGTCAGCACTGAGCTGTCATAATGTTAAAAAAATGATATGAGAGTGATGAGCATCATTGAAAATATTCTGTATAACAACTGCAATCCCTGAAGCAGTAGACAGATTCTCACAACAGTGATCACTGTCTGCTTTCAACTGTATAACAAAGTTCAAATCAACACATACAACAGAGCTGCTTTATAGTATCTCTTATACAGATTGATAAAATTGAATAAAAGAGTTAATTTTAAAAATGTTAACAGTTAACAATATAACAGAAGAATGTAGAAAAGTAAATGAATAAATAACAAACAATACAATATAAATATGATTAAATATATTAGAATGTATGATAAAATCTGCACCATTTACAATACTCATATCAAATTGTGAATTGTAAATTCATATTTATGCAAAACAAACATTCTCATCTGATTCAAATTTTAATGATTTTTACAGATGATAAAATTTCCTTTGTATTTAAAATAACATTGAATTGTTAATAATCAAATAATCAAAATGTGAATTTTACTTGTATTTAAAAGATGTAAATGTCAGAAGAAAGTTGTAGTTCTGAATATATCTGTAAAAGTATTTCATATTAAATATATTATCATTAAATAGCTCATGTAACTTTGATGAAGATTCTCTAACAGATGACAATTTCAAAGCATCTTTTACACAGTATATAAAAAACATCGAAAAAGTTTTTAATAATCTGTATATATATTCATCAATTCAATACTTAACTCTGCAGATGGAGCAGTAAACATTCATTTGATTAAAATTAAATGATTGTCAGCAATGAATGTAAAAGTGGAAGCTGTAGAAAACAAATCAGTAATTGTAAATAATTGAAAAATTTAAAAATTAATTTAAAAATAATTAAATCAATTCAAATATTGAAATCATTAAAAGCTGATTGATTTAGTGAATTCATATATATATGATCAGCAGACTCATCTGCTGCAAAAACTGCAATAACAGCTGTTAAATAATGATGTTTGACATCATAAATATATTCATAATTAAAAGCCCAGCAATTGATGCAGTTCTTGAAAATATAAATAACAATGTGAAATAGATGAGACAGACAGTTTTCACAGCATACATCACAATATGATAATTTAATTTATTATGAATTGAGTACAGAAGCAGCTATATTCTTCAATGATAGATAAAAGATTTGAATTTAACATGCTGCATATATGTGATACTGAGCTTGACAGCATATAGAGCATGTACAGAATAATGCATTGAATTGAAATCATTTAAACAAATTAAAAGGATGAGAATTCCCACACACTGAGCAGAGAAGTATGAAATGAGTATATTAATAAATGTATATAAATTGTAATGAATGTAGAGAAGAGTATAAAGAATATAAATATAATAAAGAACATCTGTAAAGAAAATAATGAAGATTAATATCAGAGCTGTACAGACTACAGAGCCAGCTGTTCAATCCATTCATGGATTTGATGGGGTGCACGTGATATAACATAAGGTCACGTTACAGTATTTTTTTCATAGAAATAGTTAGTTTTTCTATAATATAAAGAGAGATTTTGCTGATTTTTGAGAGGGAGATAGTGGAATCTGTATGCTGATGTTTGAGAATTGAATTTGTGAAATTTTCAATGTGTTCAACTGTGAAGAGGCAATTCAATTTATTTAACAGTTTAATTCATTATTTAATCACATTCTTCTGACTCTCATTTAACCTTTTATTAACTGAGGTCTTTGCAGTATTCGGATTCCTTCCATTGATATGTGCTTAGAGATGTTAATAAGGGACCTCAAATTCTCATAACAGAGGTAGTATTTTAGAATTTGAGTTTTTTTGATGATAAGCAACAGTTTTTTGAATGTGTTCTTCAATTGTTTTATTCTTGTTTGATATTGTGATGGGTTATTAATTAATTAAGAAGATGAGAATGATGAAATTATAAGATATTTATCATTTCAATATTTTTATCGTTTTGATGTGGCGCACCCACACGAGGTGTGACCACTAATGAGTGCGCCACAGCCTACGGAAAACCACACCGTACAGAAAATATTATAAATATAGCAATGTTCAAAAATTAATTAATAACCATCACTCTGTCTATCTATAATATAAAGATCATTTATATGCTTAATAAAAGATGTAGAATTGACTGTAGATTGAAATTTAATAAATTTATTTTCTTGTAATTGAATGACAGTTGATTTTATAAACTTGATTTCAATTATCTGAAAAGTTTTATTGAACTCTTTTTTCAATTCATCAATTTTATATATTGCAATTTTATGATTTATATTTTTTATAATGAGATTTTCTTCTACTTGCATCTGTCTATGAGAGGATTTGACAATCTGATGTTTATTTGTATAGTAATAAGCAACTAGTTCATCCTCTCAGTGTGTATTCAATTCTGTCTAAATCATACTACTTTTGAAGATTTATTCAACTGTTTATTTAATTCAGATGTAAGAGTATTCTTCACATCTTGTAAAGCTTTTTTTACTGCTTCAATTTGACAATATAATTTTGCAACTGTATTTAGAAATGTTAATTATGAAGATGCAGTTGACAATTGATCTGTGGAAGGTGGAATAAATTGAAAGCATTCATTTATCATCATCATTATAGACAACATGATACAGACTGTCATCAAGAGTAAGGGGTTTCAATCAATCAAATATTATATTTCAATTAAATGAATAGATTTCACAGTCTGTAAAGTCAGCTCTAACTGTAGCAAATTTGAACACTTGCAATGTGAGGGGTGATAACAGTGTGAAGAGTGAATAGTAGAAGATAGTATATAGTGTAGTGGAAGATAATAATAATTATAGTAGTAGTATAGTTGAAGTTGTAGTTGTAGTTGTAGTTGTAGTTAATCGCTGAAGAGGAAAAAAAAGAGAAAGAAGATGTGCGAAATACATGCATTCATATATATATACATATAGAAATAGTGGTAGCGAGAGTATAATGGAAAGAGGTAAGAATAGACGAAGATATAAACAAAGATAATAATAAGGAAATAATAAACGAGTGCATTATATGCAATCAGACACTCTTCAGATTGACAAGGAATTGCCTCTCATCATATTGCTCATATTTATAGCAAACAGCCTTATTAACTGTCTTTGTATGATAATGCTTATACTGTCAAAAAGACACATCATCAAGAGATTGTAGAATATGACTTGTATGAAATGGAAATTTAAATATAATGATTTTGTGAAGATTGCAATAATGAAGGAATTCATCTATAAAATGAGATTTATAATTGTCAAAAAATAATAATCAATAACCGTTCATTTGATGCTTTTTTATAATTTCATTAAATTGTTTGAGCCATTCAAATGTGATCTCATCATTTATGAAGTCAGTGTCAGATGTGGTCATTATAATCAATGGATTCAATGCTGTATCATCTGCATTGACACACTCCACCACTATTATTAACCTGTGAGAATATGAAGATTATATGACAATTTGTGTCTTGAAAAATAATTATAATTCACTGTTTATATTTTTTTTTTTTTTTGAAATTCAATCTCATCAAAATTGTAGATATCACATCTGAAGAAATGATATTGATTGAAAACAGACTCATATTGATTGAATCAGTTGATAATGAAGTTTATATTCTCATTAAACATTTATTTTGAATTCATTGACTTTTGCTTCACCCTTTCATAGTCATTTGACAGATATTTAATAAATTGATATGCTCATATTTTGCTCACAGTGGGAGGAGGAGTTTCAGAATCTATATAATGCTGCTTGAGCATTCAAT